ATAGTGAGAAATTTCAATTACGCCACTAATTTTCTAAAATTGACATTTGCACTTGGAAAAGTATTCTAGCGAATTTGGTTAGAATAAACCAAGGATTCAAATTTGGTTGCGGTTGCGTCTAGTGAGATGCTAGACTGCCTACGTACCCTTGACGGGATCAAATCGACGTAATTCCAAAATGATTTGGAAATTAATGGGTAAGTGTGGCCCACTAATTGAGAATTTGTATTTGAGAGATTTGAATTTCATCTCATTGAAAATTTGCATGGGTAGATGACCCATGGAAAAAGTTGGATGGTTTTGTACCATTTTTCTTATTGTCAATGTCCAAGAAAAATAGTGAGAAATTTCAATTAAGCCACTAATTTTCTAAAATTGACATTTGCACTTGGAAAAGTATTCTGACGAATTTGGTTAGATAAACCAAGGATTCAAATTTGGTTGTAGTTGCGTCTAGTGGGATGCTAGACTGCCTACGTACCCTTGACGGGATCAAACCGACGTAGTTCCAAAATGATTTGGAAATTGATGGGTAAGTGTGGCCCACTAATTGAGAATTTGTATTTGAGAGATTTGAATTTCATCTCATTGAAAATTTGCATGGATAGATGACCCATGGAAAAAGTTGGATGGTTTTGTACCATTTTTCCTATTGTCAATGTCCAAGAAAAATAGTGAGAAATTTCAATTAAGCCACTAATTTTCTAAAATTGACATTTGCACTTGGAAAAGTATTCTAGCGAATTTGGTTAGAATAAACCAAGGATTCAAATTTGGTTGCGGTTGCGTCTGGTGAGATGCTTGACTGCCTACGTACCCTTGACGGGATCAAATCGACGTAATTCCAAAATGATTTGGAAATTAATGGGTAAGTGTGGCCCACTAATTGAGAATTTGTATTTGAGAGATTTGAATTTCATCTCATTGAAAATTTGCATGGGTAGATGACCCATGGAAAAAGTTGGATGGTTTTGTATCATTTTTCCTATTGTCAATGTCCAAGAAAAATAGTGAGAAATTTCAATTAAGCCACTAATTTTCTAAAAATTGACATTTGCACTTGGAAAAGTATTCTGACGAATTTGGTTAGATAAACCAAGGATTCAAATTTGGTTGTAGTTGCGTCTAGTGGGATGCTAGACTGCCTATGTACCCTTGACGGGATCAAACCGACGTAGTTCCAAAATGATTTGGAAATTGATGGGTAAGTGTGGCCCACTAATTGAGAATTTGTATTTGAGAGATTTGAATTTCATCTCATTGAAAATTTGCATGGGTAGATGACCCATGGAAAAAGTTGGATGGTTTTGTACCATTTTTCCTATTGTCAATGTCCAAGAAAAAGAGTGAGAAATTTCAATTAAGCCACTAATTTTCTAAAATGGACATTTGCACTTGGAAAAGTATTCTGGCGAATTTGGTTAGAATAAACCAAGAATTCAAATTTGGTTGCGGTTGCGTCTAATGGGATGCTAGACTGCCTACGTATCCTTGACGGGATCAAACCGACGTAGTTCCAATATTTGGAAATTAATGGGTAAGTGTGGCTCAATAATTTTAGAATTGGTGTATTTGAGATGATTTGAAGATTTTCATAGGTAGATAACCTACGGGAAAAATTAGAAATTAATGGGTAAGTATGGCCCAGTAATTTAGAATTTGTGTCTTTGATATAATTTGGAGATTTTCATAGGTAGATGACCTATGGGAAAAATTGGAAATTAATGGGTAAGTGTGGCCCACTAATTGAGAATTTGTGTTTGGGATATTTGAATTTAATCTGATTGGAATTTTCATGGATACATGACCCATGAGAAAAGTTGGAAATTAATGGGTGAGTGTGGCCCATTAATTGAGAATTCATGTTTGAAAGATTTGAATTTAATCTCAATGAAATTTACATGGGTAGATGACCCATGGGGAAAACTGGATGGTTTTGTACCATTTTTCTTGTTGTCAATGTCCAAGAAAAATAATGAGCAATTTTGATTAACTCACTAATTTTCTAAAATTGACATTTGCACTTGGGTCCAAATATGGCTATGAGGATTTTTTTAAAATTGATCCATGAACCAATAATAGGAAATCTGGGCTTTTGTAAATTTAATGGGTTATTGTTTGGCCACCCATTAAATATATTGGGCTTTTGTGGAGGGAGGAGAGAATTGAGTATAAAACATAAGTAGTTCCAGCGTGTGGGAAAGACATGTGATTATTGGTCTCACACGTGGCGTTGGTAGTTCCGGCATGTGAGACACTTCCCATACGTGGCGTTGGTAGTGGGAAGAGTTTGTATGTTGCTTGGAATCATCACACATGGCGTTGGTAGTTCCGGTGTGTGATGATGTAGTCTGCGTGCGTAGGACTTAGTATGTGAGCTACACGTGGTGTTGGTATTTCCGGTTGGACCTCTCATCCCTAGACGTAGGATAGTACCTATAAATCCTGCGGGCTAGCCAAACAATCCCCAGGTTGGATTGTTTCCCCGGTACATAAGTAGTGAGGGAAGTTTATGATATTTATATTATACATATATATATATATATGTGTGTGTGTGTGTGAGTATAAAACAATTAGAGTATGTGGTGGGCTGGTGAGAGCAGTATAATTTTGGGAATAAAGTTTGTGGTTTGAGTGATTAATGGTTTTGAATATTATTTATGAAGTATGAAACTGCATTGTCTTGGGCATTATTTTTACACAGTGGGGTTATTATGTTGTTTTAAATGCAAATCTTGTTTTTGTCCACTAACATGTTTTCTGTTTTGCGCCCCCGAGACAGTAGTTGCTCCAGGAAGCTTGCTAGCGGTGTTTGAGGCCGAACCGTTCCATCCGTAGATTAGGATTTGAGTAATTTCTTTCTACTCAACTGTTGTTGTAAACTAAATCTGTTAGATGCTCTGTTATTGCCCATGTTAGGTTTACTTAAGGCCTGAGGCCATTTACTGTTGTATGTTGAAAGCATGCTGATGGTTGGGATTTTTATTATGTAAATTATGCATGTTAAATTTTGTTGGGTTTGTGCATTTTACAGGGGAGACTCTGCCAAAATTTTGGTAGATTGTCTCGGTTTTTAGTAAGTGGGCCCAGCATCGGGGTGATGTCGGTAACAATAAGGGATCCGTCCTGGTTTCCGAGGAAATTCCGGGGCGGGTCCTATCAATCTATTTATAGAAGTCTCGAAGGCTAGGGTTTCGTAGAGAATAAAACTCTTATTCGGAAGGAGTTTATTTTTTCCCCAAATTGCAGAGATTGAGTTCATTAGGGATTTGATTGGGATCCAAATCTCTTAATTTGATGACGATTGTCTCTCCTTATTAGGATAATATCTAAATTAATGATATTATCTTATTAAATAAAGATAATATCCTATAATTAAGATATTATCCCTATTAATTAATTGGCCAAATAAATTGGTTCAATTAATTAATTTAAGGGATATTCTTCTTTTCCACGTGGCGTGCTATAATTGGAGAGAGAGAGAGAGAAAGAGAGAGAGTCGGGAGAGAAGAGAGAGAAAGAGACTACCGTCTGTCTACGAACTCGTATCAGCGAGCTCTACGTAACATTGCTACTCAAATCCCCAAAATCCTTTTAGAACAAAAAGTGACTAAAGTGCCCCTTCCCAAAGGGCAAAAATGTGATTGCACAATCAAATAATTAAAAACAATTTGTTGGGTCGGGGTGTTAGGGTTTAGGGTTTAGAGTTTAGAGTTTTATTTTTTCCCCAACATCAACCACTACTTTTAGCGGTGGGAATGGTCCGTTTTGATTCGGTTTTCCTTCGAATTGCAACCAAAATCAGAACTTACACACGATCATGTTCCATTCGTTTTTTTTTATAGAAAGTTTCAAGAATAATCGAACCAAATCGGACATATGCAATTTCGGTTTGATTTAGCCCAATTTTCGATTTTCAAAGATAAAAATATAAAAGTGTGAAGAAGATAAAAATATAAATTTATGAATAAAAGAGAAATCGGATGTGTAGAAAAATACAATGGATAAAATAAGAGAGAGAGAGAGAGAGAGAGAGAGAGAGAGAGAGAGAGAGAGAGAGAGAGAGAGAGAGAGAGAGAGAGAGAGAGAGAGAGAAGCTGAACAAGAACGGATATGGTTCATCTAAAAGAAAAAGAAATTGGGGTAGAGTAATTATTTAGTTGGGTATAAATTGGAACTAAGACATTTGTGTATTAATTGGGCTAAAATATCTAGATATTACTTGGAGTTACTTATGTTATTTGAATATTAATTAAGCCTACTAATAACTTTTTAGATATAAATGATTAAGTAAACTTAACATAATCGTTCTGGTTTGGTTTGTACAAGGTTTTTCAATATAAGAACCAAGACGGAAACCAATCCAAAGCAGATTTTGAGCCTAAGTTGACTTTGTTTGTCAACATAATTTTTTTTATTTATTCGGTTCATTTGTTCAAATTAGCTCGTCAGCTGAAGGTGGTAGTTTGCCAACCACATCACATCTTGTGGTTATCATACAAATTAGTTTTAAGTGTACTCTTTGTGCATATAAAACTAAAATTACTCATTTACACATATGAAGTATTAATATAAAGCATAGAAAAATTAAATTATACTTCATACTAAGTCGGATCGGATTAACTATAATCCATATCTAGATCCATTTATAATCAGATTATCGTATTCAGATTGTATTCGGATTGTAATCATATTGGGAGTATTTTTACTCACAATTTTAACTCAAGGTGTAGCCTCACCACCCTCCTAAAAACTTGACGCATGTCTATAAGTCTAACTATAGTTAACTTTTTGTTTTTTATTTTCTTATGACATTATTATGAGAGAGAAAAACATAACTATGCTTTTAATAAAATTTAAAATAAAACATAATTATTATAAATAAATAAATTAAAAAAACCCGCCACCCACCAAACCAACCTGTTCAGCCACTCTACCCACCCCCACCGGTGGCAACCCCCTTTCCTTCTTGCCGCCGGAAACCCCATTTCCTCTCATTGATGTCATATAGGAACTCCACGACGGTCTCAGCAAAAGGTTGGTCATTGATGACTGCTTCTTGGGATCTTCAAACCCTGGCAGACTCGACGAGCCTCATGGGTTCGGTGATTTACTGGGTACTCTTTATAGAATCAATTCGGACTCGGAGTTCACGCAGCCCTCAATGGATAGTTGAGGTTGGTAAAGATTGAGAATGGAGACTTGGGCACGAGATTTGGGGCAAAAGGGTTTTAGGATTTTGGAGATAAAAATGGAGGTTTTGCAGAGACCCACATGATTGTATTGGACAAAGCCATTGGCTTTTGTTGGGTTTTGCAGAGATTGAGCGAATTCAAATCTCTATAAAATACCTAATTGGTTATTGAGCAAATTCAAATCTCAAATCTCTATAAAATACCTAATTGCTTTTTGAGCAAATTCAAATCTCTGCAAAATATCTAATAAGTTAGTGGTTGGTTGAACCTTTATTAAAGCATCAAAATTGAAAATTTCTTTTGGTAATTGGGTCTCTGTGAATCCATTCTGTTGGTGGATGTCTGCTCCATAATCGGGAGGTAATTTTATTGAGGTTACCTAGAGATAGAGGGTAGAGCTGAGCATAAGTTTTAGACTCACCAGAGTTCACGCAGAGAGAAAATCATTGAATACGTATAAAATGAGATGTTTCTGGCGGCGAAGAGAGGGTGTTGTTAGGCCGGGGCACAGCTCGGGTCGGGTCAAATTTTGGCCGACCCGCAGGCCAAACCGAAGTAGAGCTCGGGTCTCAGGTTGGGTCTAGAGTGAAACCCAAAATTGGGCCGAACCAGAAATGGGCTCAGTTCTAGGGTTCTGATCAAGTTTGGGCTTGAGCCCATTTTTACCATTTTCAAAAGTCCAAATCTTATTTATTTTCGGCCCAAAAAGCCCAAATCATAGTTTTTTAGCAAAACAAAGTCCAAATCAGACTTACATTCAGCCAAAACCCTTTTTTTGTTGTCAAATTGCCAAAACCTATTAAATTCTTATGAACAAACCCAAAACCAATTTTTCAAACAGGCCATCCATTAAAGCCCATTTCATTTTTCCTCACCCAAATCATATAAATTCAACCTTCTATAACCTGTTTTTTTTTAAGTTTCTAAACTGAATCACAATCACAAGCATCATCCAACTATCAAATTAGTTGGTTCTTACATCCCATGACAAAAAATACAAGCAAAGCACCAAATTATATTTTACATCCCATGACAAAAAATACAAGTAAAGCAGCAAATTATATTTTACAACCTATGACAAAAAATACAAATAAAAGAGCTGCAGGTTTGAACAAATGATACTAATGGCATATTATCACTTACCAAACATATTCACGTGTATAAGGGAGCTGCAAAAAAATACACTTGTATCAGTTAAAAATCACTCACCAGATCATAATCCAACTCAATAGTTAATTTCACCAAAAAAAGAAAGTGTTTGCAGTTTCTGTCTCAAATCATTTAAACAGATCAAAACACGTTATAGCACAAATCAGTTATCATTCAAAACATCTTATGACTGGACATAACAACAAATAAGCAGAGCGTTTACTTTGTTATTTACTGTACCCTAATCACAAACTAAACATTTAGTGATTAGAAAAGTGAAAGCATTGATTGAAAGACAAGCTTTATTACAAGTTAAAATGAATCACAGACTAAACATTTTCTGTCCATTCACATGACAGCAATAACAATTCCAGGCCCTGCAACTTAATAACAAAACGCTAAAAGGTACAAAGAAACAGATGAACTAGAATTTCTGAACAAAATAAAAGCAAAAAGGTAAAAATGCAACCACTGATACATATTTAATGCAAACAGATCAGTAACTCTAATTCTATTAATATTGAAGATAGAAGAACAATTCCCAGCAACCAAACAAATAAAAATTCATGGCCAAAAAGAAAGAATCTGGAACCCAAGCAAACAAAGAAAAACTCAACCGAAGGATTAGCCACATATTAAAAACACCCTAACTGAAAAGCTTTAGCCACATAGTTTAGAGAATGATTATGGTTCCTCTTCTTCATCATCCTCCATCTACATGAACATTACCCATGAACTCATGTCAGATTAAACCACATGAGAGAAATTATCAAAGAACTAAACCCTTAATAAACCTTAACCCAAAAGAATAAACATGAACCATATCATATGAATTAAACCAAAAATGACAACAACAAAAAATTCAAATAAAATTAAAAGCCTGATTTTGATCAAAGTTGATACCAGAAACAGAAAAGAATCACATAACCCATTACAGATTAAGCCAAAAAAAAATCACAGGAATTAAAAACTAAGCCAAACCCATCTCAATTCAAAAGCGTCTCTACAAACCCAGAAAAGAGAAAATTTCATATAGCTCATCATGTCAGATTGGCAAAGAAAAAAAAACATAAAATGGCAAAAATAAGCAAGACCCTTTTATGGTGATTCAAAATGAAACGAGAACTTACAATTATTTAAGGGAGCGTTTCTCGAAGGCACTGAATCAGTAAAGGATTAAAAACATAGAAATTAAACTAAATAACAAGAAATCAGATATCAGAAATCAAACTAAATAATCAGAAACAAAGTCAAGGCTAGCAGCAGAAATCAACATATTAAGCACACTCAAAACAAAACAAAAATAAGGTTAGCAACAAATATTTACCTCCATTGAAGCCAAAATTTCAAAACCTTCCATAGATTAACACAGTTCCACCATCGACATGAGATGGAGAGAGACGAGGCGAGACGAGAGAGAGGTTGATGACGGTGAGGGTGAGGGTGAGGTCGGGAGAGAGACGATAGAGGTAGAGGGTGAGAGAGAGGCGGCGACTGAAACTGAGAGTGAGAGGGAGGTCGATTGAATTTGAGAGAAAGGTGAATGCGCTAGGTTTAGTTGTGGTTGTGATCTAGTGCGAGCATCCTCAAGGTAAACTCTTCTTTTACCCAATAAACAGAGGTCACGTGGTATATTTATATATTATTAATTAATGCTCGGTTCAGGTCAGGTTCACCGGTTTCAAATTTTTTTGAACCGAAGACCGAACTGTTGACTTCGGTTCGGGTCAGGTCCAGTGTTGACTTTTTCAGTTTGGTCAAAAAAACCTCATTTTTCGGTTCGGTTTGGTTTGATTTGGTCGGTTTATTCGGTTTATCGGTTTTTATGCTCACCCCTAGGTGTTGTCGCTGGTGGAGGGGGGGAGGTTGGGTGTTGTTGGGTTTTTGTTTTTGTTTTTTTAAATAATTAGTTTTAAATTTTTAATTTCATTAAAAGAACTATTAAGTTTTTCTCTTTCATAATAATGTTATAAAAAAAATAAAAAACAAAAGGTTAACTATAGTTAGACTAATAGACATGTGTCAAGTTTTTAAGAGGGTGGTGAGGCTACACTTTTGATTAAAGTGGTGAGCAAAAATGATCCCTTCATAATAATGTTATTAAAAAAAACAAAAAAAACAAAAGGTTAACTATAGTTAGACTTATAGACGTGTCAAGTTTTTAAGAGAGTGGTGAGGCTACACATTTGGTTAAAGTGGTGAGCAAATATGCTCCAAATCATATTTTCGGATTGAGAAGTCCAATCCATCTCCTATTAATTACACCAAATTCGGATCAAAATTCGATTGAATGACAGGTCTACACACTACCCAAGGTGTCATGTGTCATTGGGATTCGAACCTGAAATCACTTATGCTGAAGTTAAGACCCTTTTCCACTGGATTACCTTCAAATCTAATAGTGTATCCAATTTTGACTCCACAAATCGACTTTATGGGGAAAAACCATGTCAACTTCCATGGTTTCTTCACTTGAGGCCATTTCTCGGCCTTGTTTGACCATGTTTTGTTTGTTTTCTTCATCAAAATATTCATGGGGCAACTTGAGCTCTTGTCAATTTTTTTATCGGCTTGAAATTTTCTTCATCCTTTTCCTTTTGGCCAATGAAATTCTCCCTATTAGGTGAAGAATGAGGTGGCCAATTTTCGGATAGCCGCCAAGACAATTTCTTCATGCTTGATCAAGGCCAGGTTAGTGTTAATTTTTCTCTTCGTTTAATAAGCCTAAGACAATTGCAATTGTATGGGTTATGAGTGGTATAGTTGCTCTCGGATACAACCTTCTGTATATACTTTTCTATCAAAGCTAGGGAAGCCCGCGCCACCTTAGCACTATATATCACAAGACCAGTCACTAATGAGGCTCCTCATGTAATCACTTATAAAGTCCAGATCGACCCTGTAATTTACCAATGTGAGACTCAACACATACCAACAGAACTTGGGTTGTTACATTCTCTTCCACTTAAATGCTTGACGTCATCATCAGGGCCCACAGTCAGATCCACACCTGTGCCCTCGAGTCCACATTTTATCATTTTTCGTGACACAAGGAAGCGCAAGTCACCGCGCTGCTATAACCCAGAAGGACTAATTACCACTGATGAGTCTTTAATCACTTAAGCACACATCGACCCAATATTTTACCGATGTAGGACTCAACACACACTAGCAAACACACGGAGTATTACACTTTAAAAAGGCTTTGCACATCTCAAGTAGAACATCATTTTTGCTTGAATTTTGCTCATATTCATAGCCAAAATTCGGCTTATGGTCGATTATTTTTGCTACTTGAATAATTATTTACATCATATTAAAACAAATTTCTTGTAGCCATATCTATTATTATTATTATTGTCGTTGTCGTCGTCATTATTATTATTATCCGAACAATAGTCATAGTTTGGCCAACAAACATTGCCGTCCTCATTTATATTTTGAATTATGGTCATCGTGACCATATTGATTCAAATTGTGAAAATCTCTTGGATTGTGCACTAGATGTCTCACCATATTTTCTCCCAAAAAGCAGAACCAAACCAGTGTTTAGACCAGTTTCAACTTTCCAAATTTTTTTCCCAACTGTATAATTGATACCTAATATAGCATTCTAACAACAGCTAGAGTATTTAGCAAAAGAACATACATCATTTTCTGTTAATTAATTGGTGCAACTACCCTTAATTTTCCGACAATTAACTGGTCTAAAGATCTCTTTAACCTTTTTGACGTTTGAAAAACATTACCAATGATGTGCATGGCCTACACATCCGTGAGTCACGCTGATCAAATTTCTCACTTTTTATCCCTTGTTTCCACTTTCCACCACCCCCAACCTCTCCACAACAGTGAAAAAGAAAGAGAAACAGTAATGGCAATGAGTAGAACGAACATTGCATGCATATGGTCCACCACACCGCAAGTCATGCCTTGACACAACAATTTCATCCTAAGGCCATTGCAGCTTACAAAATGCTTCTTCTTTGGGAACCTTAGTTTCACTACTCCAATTCAGCTCTCTCCTTTGGCTTCAATGACGAAAACAAAGCCTCAACTCATCTTCCTCTTTAGCATCTTCATTGTCTTTCTGTGCTTCTCTCTTGGGAAGTCATCAGATTTTGAGCTGGAGGATGACTCTTGGCTTAATGATGAAGATGACGAAGTTAACATGGTTCAGAGCCAACAAAATTCAAGGAGCAGATGTGATTTTTCGGTTGGCAAGTGGGTTTACGATCAATCGTATCCTCTCTATGACTCTAATTGTCCATATCTGAGCACTGCAGTGACTTGTCAGAAAAATGGAAGGCCGGATTCCGACTACGAAAAGTGGAGGTGGAAGCCAAACAGCTGCTCCATTCCTAGGTACTCCTCAATTTAAACTTGGAGCTGTTATATTTTTTCTTTTCTTTTTTTTGACAAAGCAATCATTTAAACTACTCTAATCGGGTACAAGGAGCCGCCACACCATCTTGACTAACTGGCCTAATCCACGTATATGCTAGAGCTGTTCATTTTACATTACAAGATATGATCCTTCTGTGAAATGGATGCTATGCAAAAGGTTTTGGTAGTTATTTCTTTATTTTTTTGATATACAGGTTTGATGCATTGAAATTTCTTGGAAAAATGAGAAGGAAAAGGATAATGCTGGTGGGTGATTCTATAATGAGGAATCAGTGGGAGTCTCTAGTCTGCTTGGTACAAGGAGTTGTTCCAACTGGTCGAAAGAGAGTGACCTACAATGGTCCTTCCATGGCATTCCATGCAATGGTACGATTTTATTTTTTAATCCAGGATTAAATTCGATCCCTGTTCTTACATGTACATCAGCAGTAAATGTTCTCATATACAGGACTTTGAGACATCAATTGAGTTTTCATGGGCTCCACTCCTAGTAGAATTGAACAAAGGAGCTGAAAAGAAGAGAATTTTACATTTGGACTTGATAGAAGAGAATGCAAAGTATTGGAGAGGAGTTGATGTTCTTGTGTTTGATTCTGCTCACTGGTGGACTCATTCTGATCAATCGAGTTCGTAAGAGAAAATTCACATTGACCTTTCATCATTTCCTTTGTTTCCAGAAGTGGTAGTATTGTGGATGTCCTTGTGATCATAATTGAGAGTTATTCTAACTACTTTCAGGTGGGATTATTACATGGAGGGACACTCTCTCTATACAAATATGAACCCAATGGTCGCATACCAAAAAGGACTCACTACATGGGCTAAATGGGTTGATTTAAACCTAGACCCTCGTAAAACCAGAGTAATTTTTCGAAGCATGTCACCTAGGCATAACAGGTAAGATATAATCTCTAATGCATTATGAAATTCTAACTCTGACCATTTCTCTATACTTCAATGTTTTTGTTTCTGTTGGGCAGAGAGAATGGTTGGAGATGCTATAATCAGAAGCAGCCTCTAGCTTATTTCAGTCACCAACATGTTCCTGAACCATTGCTAGTATTGCAAGGTGTATTGATAAAGATGAGATTTCCAGTATATCTTCAGGACATAACTACAATGTCTGCTTTTCGAAGAGACGGGCACCCTTCTGTGTACAGAAGGGCAATGGGGCAGGAAGAGAGGCAGCACCCGAGGGACTTTTCCTCTGACTGCAGCCATTGGTGCCTACCTGGGGTGCCTGATAGCTGGAATGAGATTCTGAGTGCCTTGCTCTGAGTATGACTTTAATATGAACTTCTAGGTAAAGTTCGCCAGAGTAACTCTTTTTTTCTTTTTTCTTTTTTCCCTCTGCATATTGAAGTTTGTAATGATAAGTCATGATGCTGTGTGGTGATGTTCTGCTGCAACAATGTGAGATGGTGATATTATGTGAGGTAGCAAAGTCTCTTTGCACTCATCTATGTGTCTCACGTTGCAGTCTTTGCTTCTTAAATTACTTATCAGAGAAGATGCTATAAAGCTTTTTTTAGCTTCAGCATTCAAAATATGACTCCTTGGGGCAGGTAAGCATGCTGGCTGGCTATAATTATAAAGGTTGAGGAACCACAGTTTTAAGAAAAAGAAAAAGACATGATCTTCACTCTTAGCCATGAGTGCATGACCTTCTTGAATGATGATGTCTGGTAATAGTTAGCACTTCTTTCCATTGTCTGCGCAGTATGAGATAATACCACAGAAGGTAGAAGCTCAAGAAAATGGACAAAGATAAGCTGAAATGAAACCTCATTTTCTGACAACACTAGAGCATTCACTAATTAGCACAGCAATAGGAAATACAATGAAGCTTGGTTGAGCAGTGAACTTTTACAATACTACTCAGTTTTGTGCATTTTAGATGCTGATTGCATACTCCCAGGTATGGAAATTAGGAAAAATTGAAAAACCATGCAAAACTCAAGAACAGGCAGACTGTTTGAATTTAATGTTATGATCAACTTGTTCAAATTTTCATTGAGTATTTTAAATCAAAATGTACCTCTCTGTTTCTTATTTTTTTATTATTATCTAAATATAAGGAAAAATGGCTAGAACTTAAAAAAATTCATAACCGCATGTTGATTATGGATTTAGAAGCAAGTAAAATTCTTTTTTTTTATTTTTCTTCCCTCTGTTGGCTTGCAAATAAAAAAGAATAAAACCAATATTGGAAGGATTTAGCAGGTAAGCAGAGGCAATTTCTGGATACAGTAAAGAAAACTGATGCCAAAGAAGACTTTTTTGCATTGCACTCCGCCCACCATGTCCTCACCCGCAAAAATTTTCCTACTGATTAGGATACAAGTTGCAGTTCAATGGCTAAGAAATTTGGCCTGTAAATATACATTATTTAGACTCATATATTTCAGCAATCTAATTTGCTCATAAAATATGCAAACATACAAATTAATAAAACAAGGTAAAAAGAAAGCACCCTTCTAGCTGAATCAATGGGGACCAAGCTTCTTTTTCAACTTGGAAATTTCCTTAGAAGTCATTCCAAAAGCCTTCTCCAAGAGCTTTTCTTTAATCCCAGATCCGAAAATTGCAGCTGGAATTCTCTGCGATCCAGGATTTTGGCTGTCAAAACTCCCCAATATAGTTGCTGGAGTATCACCAACATTCATTTGAAAGTGCACTAGACCCCTTGGAAACACCATCACCTCACCCTTCTCAATCACTTTAGCAAAAACCTTGTTATTTGTATCAACGAAACCCGAATAAATCGTTCCTTCAAGCACAAATGCAATCTCAGTGGCCCTTGGATGGAAATGTGGCACATTTACACCACCAACTTCAAAATCAGCTCGGACAAGTGACATGCCAAGTGTGTTTAATCCTGGGAAGACATTTGAGTTCACTGAAACTCCAGAGAGCCCTGTTGGACCAAATTTTCCAGGAACCTTAATGCCAGCATATATAAAATCTTCTACTGTTACAAGGGATGAGTTCTTGCATTGGTTGGCATGGCTTGCAGATTCTGTGTTGGCTATGCAGAAGTCCTGAACCGGATCCGGATCAGAAGCCCGAATGACATAGCTGTTGAGGAGGATGACAAAAAGAACAACCATGTTGTACAACATGATTCTGCACATCCTTGTTATAAAATCAAGAATGCAGGAGGAGAAATGGTGTTTCAAATAATTGGATGCAAGGAAATTAAACTATAGTAGTATCAGACAAAATGTAATGGACTATTTCAAATTTCAGACATACAACCACTCTGATGTGAATTATGAAATCAAACAAAACTGTTCAACGTTCAAGGCTATTTACTAGATAAGTAAACAAACCATTGTTGCTAAAATAATAGAGGGTGCTGCACTTTACAGTATACCTTGCTTGGGAATAAAGTGAAATTGAGGATTAGTTGGCCAGGAAATAACCACATCCACCAGCATGTGGCTTTCTTTTTTTGTCTTTTTGCCTGTTTCTGGTGGAGAATTGGTTATAGTGGGGCTTGACTTGTGCTTATGGCTCTCATTATTGCTAAAGCCTAGTCTTATCTTAAGCACAAATAAACTGTCCTAGCTGCCACTCTCAGCAACCAACCCCAAAAAGAAAAAAAAGGAACAAAAACCACCCAATTGTTTAGAATTTCTTATTCCTCTGTCTTGATCTTTAACTGCTACTCTTTAAGAACATGCATTTTTTGTGCCTCCTGTACTTTCACTTTCCACTTATCAGAAAACGAAAAGCTTTCACTTTAGAAGAAGGAAAAACTAGCATCACTTTCTAGGTGTTATGGGGTGGACCATATGGTGGTTTGGGACATAATTAGCATCTAAGTGTGTTGTTTTAAGATTTGGGAAAATTGCATCCATATGTCTTGGGTTTATCTTTGAAGGTTGAACTTTGGACATTATAATGAAATTTACATTATAATATATATATTTTAATACAAACGGTGTCTAACTCAGTGAAAAAGGGCCTTAACCTTCAAACCAGTGATCGCAGGTGTGAACCCCAATAGCACCTTGGTTATATGTCTGAGAAATTTACATTATAATTTGTTGGGCTAGAAGAAGGAAAAAGTAGTATCACTTTTTAGGTGCTAAAGGGTGGCTAATATGGTGGTTTGGGACATAATTAGCACCTAATTGTGTTGTTTAAGACTTGGGAAAATTGCATTCATATGACTTGGGTTTGACAAAGGTTGAATTTTGGAAATTATAGCGAAATTAACATTTGCATGTGTTTGGCAGTTAAATGTTTTCTTGTCTCTTTGAAAATCAAGAAATGAAAACAGCAAAACAAAAAACTGAAATTCATATTCAACTGTTTGAACACAACCCAACAAGGCATTGAGCGTGCTACAGAGGGGGAGCGTAGACACGTTCATAAGTTTACATGACCTTACATGTATAGAAAAATTGTTCAAATGTTCTTAAAACAGGTCAATTGAGTTCCAAATCTCCAAATTTTCCCTCTAGTATGTAAAAATTTATAGACAGAGTCTAACAAATGCTGGGGAATATTTTTCATCCAACACGGATTTTGATTACAATTATTCATATATCACTGCTAATTTTCAGGTACTAGTCATGAGAATCCCTGGAACCTCATCCAGAAAAAAATCCCATGCTGCGGGAACATGAACTCAAAATCTTGAAAACTCACTGATCGACGAGTCACTTTGAGCTGACTGTTTGGTACAATTTGATTTACGACTAAAAGTAGTTCAAGCAGTTCCTCCAGCTCTATTAGTAACTATCTATATCCGTTTCTGGCCTCCGGATGTAGTAACGTAGACAGTTCACCAACACCTGCAAATTCAAAGAAATTGTTAACAAAGATAATGCAGAAGGTTCTTACACTACATAACCCGATTTTCACATAAGCAGCAGCTCCCGCCAACAAATATTGGCTATCTAATGGTCAATAATTTGGCTTGGAAGAACAGAACCAAAATCAATTACCTGAGACAAGGAACTGTTTAACGCTGCCCCTCTGTAGCTGACATGAAATGTATCTTTGGCTACCAAGCCCTATAAGACAGAAAGAAAATTAATCACAGAAAAATGCAAGGAAAGAGGGAGAGAAAGCAATTGGGTTGAGGCCATACTTCTGTATCAATCTCAGCTGATTCCACATCGATATTAACATCAGCAATGATTTTGATGATTTCTACTAGCAACCCAGGTCGATCTGCTGTCTCAATGTAAAGCAAGCTGGTGATATGGAGAATATAATGCACAGTTAAATGATAAATCAAACAGAAACCAGTGTGAAGAAAGCTTAGAGGAGATTTTTCTTTCCAAAATCAATGTGATGTGAAAGAGAATACAGGAATTGAAATACCATAATAACTAATGAAATTGTAATGCTAAATGCTAGTTTCAATTATATGTTCCAGACCTCCTCTTAGGCCCATCTTCCTTCACATGTATATGAGTTGCTATATCAACATCAAGCTGCAATATCACAAACAAGTTGTCAAAACAAAGCACAAACAATCATGTATAAACTAAGTGTTTCAGCAATGAAATCATATTTGATTCACAATGAAATAAAACTAACTATAATAAGATTCCTCTTGAAAAAAATATAGAACCATAAAACAAATAATTTTCTTGAGCTTTAAAGAACCACAAGAAGCCATTGAACAAAAGCAAATCTTATGGCAAACTGACTACAACAAAGCATGGAGATCCATCTGTGTAGTGACACGCTATTAAACACAAACGAGCAGCAGCTACCCTTACCTTTTAACTTCACAATTTAACATTCAAGAATGATACAAATTCAGAATCTAAGTAAACTGTAAAACCATAAACCATCAAGGAAACATATCGACATTATGCAAATGACTTTCCACAAAATTGAAGCCCAAGCATCGCAAACCAAAGTAAGAAGATACATTTATTAATTTTATTGAGCTTTAAAGAAACATAAGAAGCCATTAAAGAAAAGCAATTCTGATGGCAAACTGACTACAACAAAATATGGAGATCCATCCGTGTGATCTGCAGCTTCCAAAACCTTTAATTGGTCTTATAATACATACGCTATGGAAACATAATGTTTATATGCTGGTACAATCATCAGAGAAAAGGGCAAGAGTGACCAGATCCTATAATTGTGTTTCGTTAGAACATGACTCCAACAGAAACTGTTTGGTGCTAAGTGTTTAAGTTCAAACAGTGATGTCCACAGCAGAGAAGATCAGATAAGAACAATAAACCAGACGTAGGGATGAAGAGGTTATGATTGTAAGGCTACAAGGTTTAACAACATCACCTTCTTCTCTGGACCTTTTATTCCAAATGCTTCACCCATTGCTAGTAGCTGACTAGATTCCTAGGAGGAATTCAAGCAGAAACTGCTATCGTTAATGAAATCAATGAATCGTTGTAAGAAATGTAGAAATATGATAAAACTTCAAAGATAATAAGTGAGTGTAATCAGCATTCTTACCGGATGATACTTCAAAAGATTGTTGATGATGGTAAGTCGAATTCTCTCTAACGTATCAGGATCTTCAACTTTGCGCCCAGTGTCTCTATCATTATCAAAATCAATCTGTAAATGCTAAAAACTTACAGTACAACATATAAGAGCATTGGCTTATAGACGGTACAACAATTAAAATTGACAATTACACACTTGTACTGATGGAAATGAAGCACATTCAAAATTTTGAAAACACAGGTGTACACGTGTTTTTAGAAGTAATAATAAACACCCTGAGCAGTTCTGCTTACAATAAACATGAAAAAAAATGTCACAGTATCCAAATTGGCTTGAATTTTTTTTATTTTTTTTTCGCATTTCATTTTGTAGCCATATTGGCTTACACATAGCAATGAGTATTGTTACAACTTAATTAGGGGCCCTCTATGGACAGACAATGTTACTAGAGAAACAGGTTGATATGATCACCCCTGATGTACAAATTTAGCCACAAACAGGATGAACTAATAAACCTTATTTCTACTCAAATTTTGCTAAAAAAGAGAGATGGTGCAAATCCCAGAGCAGTATTGTCGATACCCTATGTGGTATGTACAATGACCGACACCTGATGGCTCTGATACTGAATTGAAGCAATTCAACTTGTATTAGGAGGTTGCAGTTGCAAGGATTTGAACTCCAGATCTCCTGCCCTGATACTACAATACAGCATATGGGCTTACCACTATTCCCCAAAAGCTTTAACTATTAAATGGTCATAATTTAATTGGCGTATAAAGAGCTAATTAAGCACTTAGACCTATAATGTTCAAGAATCTCCACTAGAACCACAAAACTAGCAAACTTCCTTTCAGAACCATATATGAGATTAACTCTCCATAAGCATATGTAAAAGCGCAATATGATGAAAAACAAAAATAAATAGGTACTCACAACCACGTTATATAAAATTTTGTTTGTTTGACTGGTCCCTCAGTGGTAACAGTTCCCTTTACCACATCCAATCCCAAATCTTTCAATGCATTGATCTGTCATTCAAACAAAAGTAAGCAAACAATCATAAGCTTCCTTAATTTTCCTCTTTTTATTTATTTTAATCTTTAGAAACTAATGCTCAGGGTGTCAGCACTAGACCACATAGAGCCACTTTCACTTAAATCTGATCTGATTAGTACACTGACTACATGCAGCACATTTGCTGGTGGATTCAAGTGTTTCTGATTATTCCAAACAACTTCAGTTGACTTCAACAGAGTGACTTTCATGGACTCAAAAAGCTTTAACAAACTAAATTGTGGGATTCTAACCAATAAAAAGCAGTGCTATTTGAAAATAACTGGTGTCTTGAAGATTTTGGCTTAAGAAAATCTGCTTTAAAACACCTCTTCCAACATTTCTTCACACTCAAAATTGAATTCCAATGTAAAGAACTAGAGACTCGCAATGGATGTTATTCTAAAACAGAGAATTTACAAAGTTCCCACATCCACTTCACCGTATCAATGAGAGCTCCAAGGCGATCACCAAAGCTGAGTTGCACAATAGTTGCATCAGAATCTGAATCTTGATCGATCATAACAACTGGCATTGGAACATAATCACCATCTTGATCAGACTTCTGCAGTTTACAACGCCCATCAATTTTATGATAAATAATACAATCTGGTCACACTTGCAGATTATCAAACTTCAGTCTGGAAGTTTATTCAAGCAATTTACATCCCCAAAAGTTCAGAGAACAAGAAGAAGGAATAAATTAGCAAAAGCTCAACTCATTACCGTACCATACCAATAAGTTGTAAAATTTAATTAATTTCCCACCTAAAGAACAGAAAGGGTAACATACAAATATAATTCGAGGAGGAAAAGAACGAAATTCAAATAACCTTAAAGGAAAAATCCACAAGAATTTCACTACAGGTGTGAACGAGAATATGAGATATATTATTTGGGTAATATCTTACTGACTGAGAGTAAGGGACATTAAAATATCATATTGTAGACAGCAAAATTTCAATATTTTTAAATGTGTCTTTGGTTGTAGTCATAAAAAGTAAAAATAACAAAAGTAAATTTGTCTTATGGACTTCCGAAAGGAGTAAACTACTTTCTTCTTCTATTCAGGAGTTACTCAATCTCAATTGACAAAGCTAATCTGCTATCAAACAAAGCTCACTGGCCATAGACATGACACCTGAATTCCTGACTGAACAGGGGGAGAGACAGAGAGAGAGAGAGAGAGAGAGAGCTCTTGCAAGGGGAAACAGAGACTGAATGCCTAGGAGAGCTCTTGCAAGGGAAAAAAAACAAGAAAGATATTTGTAGACTGTCACCTTGCCAACCAGTTTCAACATCTGCCTGCACTCACGAAAGGAGTGACCTAAGCTTTTTCCTTAATTTATAAGAAGTAAATTTTCATTGAATAGAAGTGAAGTATATATCACAGGGGACAGGTATTCTCTCATATCACCATTCTAAACCACATCAAACAAAAATCCATGAAAAAAAAAGGGTTAATTCATAATAACATTTCTTCAATCAGAAGATAGCAATATACCAATCCTTAAATTCCCAAGAAACAGAAGCCCACAAAGATTTCCAAATTCAAATGTCCCACAAATGATCAACATCCTCCTTCCTAATTCCCTAAATAATTCAATGATCCACACAACCCAAAATAATGCTAACACATCACATCTTCCCAGTATGATACCCTTTCTTCCTCGAAAAGTGTCTTATAAATTGTAATAATAATGTATCACACGAACCTGGGATTGCCCAACTCAATCTCGTCTCCCTAAGAAGTCTAATTCACAAAGAATATACAACTAGATGATGACGTAGTAGAGGTTCAAACATTTAGCATCACTCTTGCACATTACACACCATTGAAGAGGAAAATAACTATAGGGTTTCCCCCACTGGGACAAGTCACAGGTATTCACTTTCCTATGAGCAATAATCCAAGCTAAAACCCATACCTTTTTCTGGTACTTTGGCCTTCCAAATTGCATGGGAGGGACCAAGAAACAGATCTTGAGAACCCAACTCCCAAATTCTCCTATCATGCCTTTATGGGACCAACCACAACATTTCTAGAATCTCAGTTAACTCCCCCACTTCCCATCCATAAAAATTTCTTTAAAACCCAGAAAGATAAAGGAAAAGAAGAGGGATCTAAACACAAACAAGCGATAGACGCATTATGAGATCTTGATAACATGTATAAGTAAAGCAAAAGATAAGAAAATTATGTTTCCCATCCCCATCTCTCTTCCCAAAACCTCACCTTTTCCCTCATTCCCCACACCGAGTCCACAGAAAGATAAAAGAGTCTCCACCTATTTCTATGGATGTTGTTCAGGGTTCCATTCCTCCTCCAGCGCCACGTATTCCTTCTACTGGTTCTGCCCATACAGATCAGTTTGCTGACGTCTTGGATCATGAAGTTGTGGCCTCGTCTGCTGGAGGGTTTCTACCCGTTATCAGGCTTGTTGGGTTGGAAGGCCTGCTACTGAGGACACTTGGATTACAGAAGCTGAATTTCACCGGTTGGATTCCACTCTTCTGCATAGTTATCAGGATGCTCTTCATGATCTTGATTTGGCAGCATCCCGTCCTCCTATCATCCATACTTACCAATGTCGTCATTGTTCTTAATCTTGGTTTACTTGCCGGTGTCGAGTTCTTTTTCGGTGGGGGAGAATGATGCAGAATGCATATTATTAGTTTTCCTAATTCTATTTGGATTAGTTTTCCTATTATCAGTTTTCCTAATTCAGTTAAGGATTCCTTCTTGTTGAAGGATCTCTTATTGGTTAATTTGCTTTCCTATTTCTTAAAGTTACTTTTCCTTTTCCTAGACTAAAAAGGGTTTTGCCTCTATAAATAGAGCAGTTTGTAATCTTTTAAGGCAAACTTGATTCATGATAAATTCCTTACTTTCCACTCCCTGATTCCTTCCCTTTCCCTTCGTCTCTTTGATCTCTAATTCTTCTCCTCGATCTCTTATTTCTTCTCTGTTCTATTGCTTAAGTGTTTAATACCTATGGGCTGTTCTACATCAAGATTTCTTTCCAAGGGTATCACTTTGAACCCCTCATCACAACATTAAAGTCCCAGCCATTCCAAGGGCATCGACCTGAGGTGTCTTTCCAAACAAGCGACCTGTGTGCTAGAATAATAATACAGTAGGTGATAGGTGAATAAAAAATGAAAGCTACCTTCAAATTACCAGGCTAATACTGCTTGAGTGAACCAACGAGAATGGAGGGCACAAAAGCGTGGTAGGTTTTCTTATTTCTTAACTTTTCCACATTGCTAAAGATAGAATATTTTGGGGGCAGTATCAGAGCTCTTCAGTACCTTTCATTGCAGGGTCACTTTACAAGAGCAAGTTCTACCCATGGTCCATGACAAAAGGCAAAGATAAATACTAGAGTTGGTCAGGGTTTCGGTAGTAGAGTGAGAAGAGAGAAAACTGAGAATGGAAATGAACGTTCAACCCTTTTGGATACTATAGTCAAATACAAAGATATATTGAGTCATATAAAACAGAATCGTATATATTTATCATCCCCAACTTGTTGCATAACTCAAAGGATTCCCTTTTACCCCCAATTCATTCCTAATCTCTTATGGAATTGAAATCTACTTCTATATGCTTAGTTCTCCCATGGACAACTGGAGTAGAGGCAATATGTATAGCTCCTTGATTGTCACAAAGCATTCTGATAGGTTTTCAAGATAGAATACCCATTTCTTCAATAAAGTGTCTTCACCCAAATCATTACAGATGCATAAATCTATACTCAGGTCCGGCACCTGATTTAGTCAGGCACTTTGTGTCTTTCTTTTCCATGTAACCGAAATATCGGTGGTCAATACAAGAATCATGAGTCCAATTAGCATCAGGAAAACCAACTCCAACTTCAAAGGTGTTACAGGGCCTAGTTACTGTCACACGTATATAACAACCCAATCTTCGGCATACAACATTTCAATATTCTAATGTGAGAACATAGGACAAAAAGTGGGCTGCTTGGAAATGATTTGATTGTTTTGATTATGGCTCTGAACCATGTTAGGATTTCAGTGGTAGAGTGAGAAGAGAGAAGAAAAAAGGAGAGAGCAGAACCAAACATTCAACTCATAGTGGGATGATCATATGCTCACTTATATATGCGTTGAAGAAACAAGACTACAAATAACCCACCCCAGACAGCTCAACAAGATTAAAAACCCAACTACTAGGATATAGTCTCAATTCTGCAACTTCAAAGTCTGCTGCAAAAGATTAAAGTCTTTCAACATATAGGCATCTCCACTAGACTCCAATGTATGTTGTCCTTTCAAAGAAATTGATCACAACTTATTTCATTTTTCAAAGAAATCGTCAACAATAATACGACTGTTTTAGAAAATTCTAGACAGTACAACACCAGCAGAATCCAACTAAATATGGAATTCAATACCATAACCATGATATTATGTTTGTATTAAGCATGCAATGTAACTGACCAACGAGGTTGACCCAACTGCATTCAGACCATTGGTAGACGCACGCACAGTGATCCTGCATAATATTTTACGGAAATTTAATCAAAATCAGAATGAAATTTAAATTATACACCAAAAATGAAAATTAAATCAGTATCTAGTTGACTTCGAACTTTCTTTTAATTCTCTGCGATCAAATGGATGGTCCATTTCTATTAGTTGCCACAATTTGCTCAGCAACCAAACAAAACAATAATGAATGAATAAAATATTTACATGAAGAATAATAAAAAGAAGAGGAAAATGTCAAATATTGTTGAATCCAGAACCGTAAATCACAAACATATAAACGAGAGATCGGCAGCTTTTTAATCCACCATTTTCTTAGCAACCAAACAAAACAGAAAAGAAAACCCAAATAAAATATATATATATATATATATATATATATTAGGAGAGAGCACTCATACATTTTTCTGGAGAAAGTGTCAGCATGTTGAGAGCACATGGTAGGAAATGGGAGGAGCTTGGAAGGCTCATATGGAGAGAGGTGAGGCGGAAGGGCAAATTCGGAATCGGAAATTTTGGATCGATGGAGAGTGAGAGAAGAAGCAAAGAGAGCCGAGTTGGTGAAGGCCATGGGACTAGAAAGAAATAAATGAAATCGTTTGTTTGAGTTTCAGAGTTTGGGACTTTGGGCTCTGATTGCTGACGAAGAAGAAGTGGGGAGAGTGAGGACATTTTCGCATGGAGCATCGATAAGGAGAATATTTTGGTTGTTGCGTCACTTTAAGTGGGGCCTACTTTAGATGAATAGAAGCCACGTCATATTGTATTTAAATCTATTATGAATATATCAGAGCATGTTAAATGACAAATATTAAATTTAAATTTGATGAGGAATGTACTAATTTGATATAGGGTCCTTGATATATCAAATTAAAAGAGTATTTTATTACATCAGTGTTGATTTGTTCATTATTTTTTTAACTAAATGTATTTTATATTTTACAATTAGAAATAAAAATTAAGAAAGTTGGTTTTTTTTCATTCTCTTTTATCCACTTACACTCTCTTTTGTTTTTTAATACTTTTCAATCAATTTGTTGTTTTTTGTTCTTTTTTTATTTCTGTTCTACCTTTTTGCTCTACATTAATTTATTTTCACTTCACATTATTTCTTTTTCTTTACACTTACTTTCCTACTTGCACTCTATTTTCTTCTTCTTCTTCTTTTTTGTTCATTGAGTTAGAAACAATTAACAATGTATATTGACATAATTATATGAGAGCTCAAATTAAAGTCACAACTTCAGTAACATATACAAAAGATAAGAGCATCTCTAGGAGACTCTCTACTCCCTATCCCTAGCTATTTTAGTAAAGAAGGAAAAAACAATGCTCCAGCAGCTTCGCTCCCTCTCTTGCCATTTTGGAGATCGCCATTTTGGCTCGCAACATCTAGCAAGGACGAGAGAGAAATTCAAGGCTCGTCATCTCGTTCAAACCCAAAACTTCAAAGTCTCCATCGTTTCTCTATTTCTCTCTATTCTCTCTATCAAAGTCTCCATCGCAATCTCTATTTATTATGTTTCTCTATCCTCTTTGAATTCTGAGGTGGTATTTCCATTTGAGATTTGAAAATTCCCTTTTAATTACTTGAAATTTGTATATGGGTTTCTGGGGTTGAAATTTGTATATGGGTTTCTAGGTTTTTTCTTGGAAGGGTTTGGGTTTGTGCTTGAAATTAACAAGTTTCTCTGCAATTTCTACAATTTGAAATTAAGTGGTTCTAATATGGGTTTGTATATGATACAATTTCTACAAGTTCCATTGAAAGTATTTGAAAGTACTTGAATATCTACAAATTCTGCTGCAATTTCTACAATTTCTACAAATTTTGCTTCTCTAGATCTGCAAATTGTGCTTCTCTACAAATATTTTTTTAATGTGCTTCTCAAATTGTTAGATGGATTTTGTAGTTATGCCAACATCCTCAACGGACAAGTAGACCTTAATGATCCATTTTCAACATTTGGTTGCACGCCTACAAACCAAAATGAAGGTGACAATGACATGTCTCAAGTGATTGTTCTAGCTATAGACCAACCACCAAGAAACCACTAAGTTGACAACAACAAAAACTTGTTTGGTTGATAAGAAAATTCAACCAAATAAAAGAGAAAAGCTATAACTAGTCTAAGGCTAAGCTATCTCTTCGATTCAAGAGTAGATAATGGCTATATAACCACAAAGAAACCTTACAACCATATCAATCAATTAGGGTAAGGTAAGGGTAGAATCCAATATACTCTTTTGTTAATTACCAACTAAAAAGATAGGAGAATATGTATGACTGACATGTCTAATCAGCAAAATTTAATATAATCAATAGGAAAGATATATATATATATATATATATATATATATATATACCATCTACTATGTCTGCTTCATCACTATCGTCTGTAATCCATCCCGGTTCTAGCCCCTTTTGGTATCAGAGCCGTAAGAGTTGCGGTTTAAGTCTAAGTTTGCTACTCATTCCCGCCCAAGTGGCTAGTTTAAGCTTATGAGTAGAAGTTTTCAGTTCCTTCTTTTACTTTTCTTTGATCTTCGAGAACCCTGTCCTTCTCCCTCAAAAGAACAAGGTAAGACCTAGATCCAAACAGTAAGTCCCGAGGTAGTGGCCTGAGCGGTAAGGCACGAGTGTGAGAGAGAGAATCATTAGGTTCCTTGTAGAATAAAAGGTCAGTATAGAAGTCCTTGTTTATCTTCTTCTTCGTTGCCAAACCCAGAAACTTGAGTAGTCATGAGTCACCTATTTAGAACTAATTCTTGTAATTCAAGCAGTTCTACTAGAGCCAGTATTAGTCGCCTCCCAGAGATAGTAAATGGAGAACAAGTAGAATATGAGTCTAATAATGAATTAGATTATAAAGATTGGAATATACCTAGAGTCCCCAGTCAGGACATCTATAAGAAAAAAATGGAGTCTTAAGAGCTTTCAGTCGACACCCATGTCAAAACAGTTGAACAAGTTTATGCCTTAAGTAAAGAACACAAAACATGCAGTTGCTTAATCTTGAGTCAATTAAAAAACATAAGACTGATGGGAACAATTTCCTTCATATTAGACTAGTTCAAGTTGCAGTTAAGCCCAGACTATGATTAAAAACCTATGTATGTCTGTGTCTAAGAGATGCTAGATTCACTAATTTTAGAAACAGTACGCTAGGATTAATTGAGTCAAGTCGTTGTAATGGCCCAGTTCATTTGATTGTTACCTAGACTTTATAATAAGCCTTAGTGATCCCCATATTTTGAAAACATTAACTCTAAATATTAAAACTGATGGTTATCAAGTCTTCCAGGAACACAGCTGTTAGCTTTAGTATATAGAATTTATTATAAAGTTACAGGAACTAATATGAACTTTCAAGCCCTTAATAAAAGCCCAAAAGACCAAACCTTGTTGATCCAAAGTAGCAAACCAGAGGCCAACATACGAGTACCTCACACAGTCAAATGGTTAGAAGTTGCCCTTCCTCCAGAATGGACATTCACTGCTGAATGTCATTCAACCCCAGTTCAACATAGTCTAAACAATTTAGACTATATTCAGCAATATCTAGATGGCACAGTAAAAATTAGTTTTGGAAATCAACATCCACCTAAGTCTACCATACAATTACACCAGTTGCCTACCCCTGGTCAATCCCATAGGCATATTCCTGCAAGGCACTCATTTGCAGCTTCCTCCTCAACTCTAGAATGAGACCTAGAGTTAGAAAAAGCAATGATAGATTTCAAGCTAGAATCCCTAAGAGAAACCTCCCAGGTTAACCAACCTTGCTATGGTAAACAACCAGTTGAGAAAGAAAAATCTGAGTCTCCAGAGTCCCCTACCCAAACTGACTTTGAAGTCGAAGATTTCGCCACAGTTGTCCATAATCAATTAAGAACACTTAATAAGAAATTTGTAGTTAATTGGAAAGCTTTAGATTGTCATCTTAAGGCCCCAGAGAACCAAATTAGAAGAGATAATTACCACCAAGCTTACCCTGATAGAGATGCCCATCAACAAATCTTTAATGAATGGAAAGATTACATGCGGACAGCCAAAGTTGAAATTTTCTACCTAGATTTCATAGAAAGCCGTCATATGTCCAATAAGTTGAAAACCTTAACTAAAGAGAAATGGAAATAATAGACAACACAGAAGTCGTTACAAGTCATCCCCTAGTTGAAAACATAATAGTTGATTATAAGAATATTCAGATCCCTGCTTGTCCTTTTAAACTCCCTGAGAAAAATGACCCAGATAAAAGACAAGTTGAACAAAATAATTATGCGAACCAGAGTCTAATTGTCATAGGAAAACAGTTAGATAAAATTGAAACAAAAGTTGACAAATAGTTCCCCCAGGATAGCAAAGCCAAAGTTGAAAAACCATTAGTTCAATTTCAAGATCTCAATTCAAGTCTTACCCTTAAGATCAAACCAACAATGAAGAAAATTGAAGAAATGTTAGAACAGTTAACACCAGTTAAAACTGAGAAATCCGGTCTAAAAACCCTAGATTCCTTCATAGTTGATAATCCTTCTGAGTCTGAACTTGATACAATAGTCAGCCAAGAATCAGAAATTAGTAATATTTCGAAAATCGAAAATGCTTTTAAAAATTTGGAAATAGGAATTGAGCCAAAGTCAAACGGTTAACTAACCGAGTCAGTCCTACCAGTCTAACCAAAAATTGGTATCCCAGGCCAACACCCCCAGACATCCAATTTGAAGAACGAAATTTCCAAAGTCAATTTTTAGTTTCTTCAGATAAATTGTATGAATGGAATATTGATGGTCTATATGAGCAAGAAGTCCTTAATAAACTTCAACACGTCCATGGTTGCCAATAGTTATGTCACCAACCACAGTTTTAGGCAGTCTGAAATAGTGCCTTTACTAGTCATTGGTTTTACTGGAACTCTCCGGTATTGGTGGGATAAGCACTTAACCGCAGAGTCGAAAAACTTGATAATCCATGCAGTCAAACTTAATGAAGAAAGTCTTCCCATATTTGACAAACAAATAGGTCAAGGTATAGAAGACGGAGTCAACACTTTATTTTATACAATAATAGAACACTTTGTTGGAACCCCTAGTAATACCACCGCTAGAATTCATGATCAGCTCAGTAACTTGCGTAGCCCTAAGTTATTAGATTTTAGATGGTATAATAAGGATGTCTTCATCTCCTGAGTCATGCTTAGAGATGATAGTAATCAGCCATTTTGGAAAGAAAACTTTGTTAATGGTCTTCCAAACTTATTTGCCCATAAAATTCGAACTGTCCGTAGTAATGAACAAGGTCAAATTGATTGGGATAGTTTAACTTATGGAAATATAATTAGCACAATTAATCAAGTTGGTATGAAAATGTGTGTTGATTTTAAAATTGGAAAACGAATACAATCTGATAGAAAGTCAGCTAAGTACGAGCTAGGAACTTTCTGCGAACAGTATGGTCTCGCTAGTTACCCTCCTTCTAGGAAAGAGAAGTCTAGTTACCCTAGTCACGTTAGAAAAAGTCGACATTATTCGATAGGAAACAATATTTCCGACACAATAATGATAATAATGCGTTTTATAAGAAAAATAAATTTCACCCTAAGAAAAATTGGTTGAAAACAAAAAATGAAAAGAATAGTCGTTTTAGGAAAAATTCCGACAAACGAAAAGTTAAATGTTATAAATGTCATAAACTCAGTCATTATGCTTTTGAGTGTAAAGTAAAAGATACTATTAAACAGTTGAAATCACAAACGAAGAAAAAGAGAAGTTGATTGCGGTCTTAGAATTGAAAAACTCTTAGTCTAGTGAAAATGAAAGCCTAGTTGCCAGCACAGAGTCTGAAAGTTATCAGTCTTCAAATTCCCAGTCTAGTTCACCCCGAGTTCAATTTGGTTGCAAAGATAAATGTTGTAATAGGATAAAATCTGTTTGTCCTCACTAAACAAGAAGAACAAGAAGAGTTGTTAATTGACTTAATCAGTAAAGTTGACCAGAGTTGAAATCTGAATATTCGAAAAAACTAAGAAAAGTCATTAGCCAAGAAAGCCCAAGCAAGTCTATTCCTCAATCGATTAGTCTAAATACTACTTTAGAAAAATTTAATCGGAAAAAGGATATTACTTTACAAGAATTGCAATTAGAAGTCAAATTGGTTAAAAACAAATAGTTGAATTAAAACACATAAGTCAAAAATTACAAGTTGAAAATATGAAATTAAACAAGAATTAGTTGAATTAAGAGAAAGGAAAGACAGAGTCTAGAAGCCAACCAGAGAGCCCGAATAACTCCGATGGTGAACCTTCAAATACTGAGCAATGATAAAACATAGGAAATGGTATTCTAAGGTCACAATATTTGTCAAAAACTTTGAATTCAATACAGTTGCCTTATTTGATTTAGGAGCCAACCTTAATTGCATTCAGGAAGGTCTATCCCAACTAAGTATTATAAGAAATCTAGAGAGTCTCTTAGTATGCCTCAGGAAGGTCTCTCCAGTTGAACTATGAATTGCCTAAAGCCCATGTCTGTCAAAATAAAATTTGTTTCAAAACCTCATTTGTCTTATTAAAAAATATCACTGATGAAGTCATTTTAGGTTACCTTTTATTCCCTTATTATATCCTTTACAGGTAGAATATGATGGAGTCACCTTTACCCATTTAGGAGAAAATGTAAAATTTGAATTTTAAGCAAACCAGAGTTGCACAACTTAAGAGCCCTCCAAAAGAGTTCAGTTTCAAAATCTATCAAGCTAATTCAAAATAAGAATAACCAGTTGAATTTCCTTAAAGAAGAAGTTAAATTCAAAAGAATTGAACAACAACTTAATTGTGAGTCCTTGAAGTTGCAAATTCAACAATTTGAAAATAAGTTGAAACATGAGATTTGTTCTTATTTGCCTAATGCTTTTTGGGTATAGGAAACATATCTTGTAGTCTCCCCTATGTCAAAAATTTTAGTGAGAAGAACATCCCCACTAAAGCTAGGCCGATCCAAATGAGTCAAGAAATAATGGAATTCTGTAAAGTTGAAATAACTGAGTTGCTTCAAAAAGGAATAATCTGTAGGAGTAAGTCCCCTTGGTCTTGTCCTGCTTTCTACGTCCAGAAAATGCTGAGTTAGAAAGAGGAGTCCCTAGATTGGTTATCAACTATAAGCCCCTTAATTCAGTTTTAGAATGGATTAGGTATCCTATACCTAATAAACGAGACTTAATTAACATATTAGAACAATCAGTTGTCTTCTCTAATTTGATATGAAAGTGGTTTCTAGCAAATCCAAATAGATGAGTCAGATAGGTATAAAACTGCATTTGTCACTCCTTTTGGTCATTATGAATGGAATGTAATGCCTTTTAGTTTAAAAAATGCGCCGAGTGAATTTCAAAATATTATGAATGAAATATTCAATCCTTACAGTCATTTCTCAATTGTCTATATTGATGATGTTCTAATCTTTTCCCGTCATTAGAACAGCATTGGAAGCATTTGCACAAGTTCCTCCAAATTGTCAAACACAATGGTCTAGTTGTTTCTGTTAAGAAAATCAAGTTGTTCTAAACCAATGTCCAATTCCTTGGTTTTAATATTTGTCAGTCTCAAATCGGTCCAATTGATCGAGTCATCCAATTTGCTGATAAGTTCCCAGATCAAATCTTTGATAAAAGTCAACTCCAAAGGTTTTTAGGATCTCTTAATTATGTGTCTGATTTTTATCAAAATTTGAGAAAACAATGTAGCCTTTGTTTGATAGGTTGCAGAGTAATCCTCCTCCTTCGTCATCTGCTCATACCGAAATTGTCAAACAAATCAAAATTCATGTTAAGGCACTTCCCTGTCTTGGTATCCCTTCAGTTGATTCCTTCAAATAGTTGAAACCGATGCCTCTGATATTGGTTATGGAGGTATTCTCAAACAAAGAGTCAATCCGAATTCCCCAGAACAGATCATTTGTTTCCATTCTGGCATTTGGTCGCAATATAATTATCGTACTGTTAAGAAAGAAATATTATCTATAGTACTATGCATCAGCAAATTCCAAGATGATTTGCTTAATCAAAATTTTTTAGTTAGAGTTGATTGTAAGTCTGCAAAACATGTTTTAGAAAAAGATGTTCAAAACATTGTATCTAAACAGATTTTTGCACGATGGCAAGCCATTTTAAGTATATTTGATTTTGAAATTGAATACTTGAGAGGTAGTGAGAATTCAGTTCCTGATTTTCTTACTCGAGAATTCCTGCAGGAAAAACAATGGCACCCAAAAAAGACAAGCAAAAAGAGTCAGCTAGTCAACCCAGTCAACCCAAGTCAATCCAACCGTTCCGGATCTTGCCACCATCCATGAGCAAAGACAAACAAGAGTCATCCTCCCAATTGCCTTCCCAAATTGTCCCTTTCCCATGTTGCAGTCCAATTCAAGTCAGTAATCGGTTCTCCAGTCTTGGAACCACAGTTGGCCAAATTCGCCCCAATTACTAGTCTGCTCTAGTCTCTAGTTATGATCCATTCCATATCACTCCTCCAATTGCCTAGTCATCTCAGTCGACTCCTTCTCTCCCAAAGTCATCTCCATATTTACCCAAAGACAAGTCGCATCTTTTCATAATTGAACCCATTTATGATGGTATTTCTGATCCAATTACCATTATAAAATCCTATTTTCCTCCTAATAGCCATTTCCTTCCTCCTTGTCCTTATAAAATCTCACTTACTATAGGGACATCCTAGTTGAAACAAAGTCAGTTGAATTCAAGCCCATAAAAGATTGGGAAAAACCCCACATAATTCTCTACCATTCTCTTTACATCCAGCAGATAATAAGCCAAGAATAATTCAGTCGCCACCCTTATAAGTTGAAACACCTCCAGTCGACCCATCCATACAATTATGTCGACTATATTGAGGCATGGTACACCATTTTCCTTTATCAGAAAGTTGACTTCAGCCACTCTTGATTCATCAATTTTGATAGTAAATTCAAGAGTCCATTCCCTTATTGGTTTTCTTCATTTGTGGGGAAAACATGGCCCAATAGCTGATATCCTCCCTATTGAAGTTCATAATCTGACCAACTATTTTGCCAGTAAATATAAGTTCAATAAACAGCAGTTGTTTTTTTCGCAAATTACTCCTTTTTATTTCCAGGTACAAAATTCCTTGGATATTAAATGGAATTATCATGTAAATTGGGAATCCAGAATTATGTCTCCCCAATTTTCAGTCAATGGTGGGATAAGTTTCAAGTTGCCAGAATTGCAGAATATGTTTACAAGTATTTTCCCCAATCGGTGAATCCTCCTAAGCAGCAGCCAGTTTCTCCTGTTGGTTCTTGTTCTTCTCTCTCAATCGAGGGAAAATCAAAGTCAGAATTGCAAGAAATTGCGCGCCTGTTGATCATCCAAGCCTCTCAAATGAATGATGATGAGGAGAATGATAATAACACCTCTCCCATGTCCCAGTCATCATCCAGTTGTCTCCCAAATCAGAGTCCTTCACAACCTTGTCGGTGAAGTGATTACCAAGATGCCCAACACCCTTATGCCGCTTATGACTTGAATTCTGACTAGGTCTAAAGTTGCCGACAGTCATCATTCGAGTTAAAGCCACCCCGGTGAAAGTGAATGGTTAAAGCACTCAGTAAAAGCAGACGTCTACTTTCGCGTGCTTCTACAATCATGATTCCCTGACAAGTCACCCGAGTAAAAGCTAAAGTTGCCAGAGTTAAAGCATCAAAGGAAAACTCGTGCCTCTACAGTTAGAGCATTCGATGTTACCATTGTTGCTTTCGGTTACCATAGTTGCCAGATCGTAGTTAGTTTTGAGTTATTTAACTAGGCTTCGACCTTAGTTGAATTCAGAATGTAATTTTTCATTCCTTAAGTTTTTAGTTTTTAAAGCTTTCTCTGAGACTCCCTCAAAGAAAGTTATCAATGTAAATTACAAGTGTGCTATCAATAAAAGAAGACTTTGTAAGTACAGTACTTTCAAACTATGTTTTCTTTCATTGATACTTTCATTAATAGTCATTAATTTAAAGTTTCATATTTTCATATTTGAATTATCATCATGTTCTTGTTTTCAATGTTTGTATTTTCATTGATTAAGTTCATGCATAAGTTGCGTCTCTTCTACTATGTCTGCTTCATCACTATCGTCTGTAATCCATCTCGGTTCTAGCCCCTTTTGGTATCAGAGCTGTAAGAGTTGCGGTTTAAGTCTAAGCTTGCTACTCTATATATATATATATATATATATATATATATATATATATATATATATATACCCCGAAATAAGTTTATTTGAGGGATACCCTTATAGGGCCCATTCCACATTGTATTTCACTAATCCAAAGCATCTATTTTGTAGATATTGATTCAATATCATCTCTACAAAAAATGACTTCAATCCGATATCATTTAACCATTCAATTAACTTATCGAAATTAAAGTACTTTCCTAAAGCACTATGTTCATTGATTTGTTGGTTTGTATTAGATGCATGATTTTCTATTATTTGTCTGATTTTTTGCAAGGATGATTTATGAATGAGGATTTGAAAACTAGACAGTTTGGATTGTTGAAAAAAAATTCGTAGGGTACCTTAAAGGGTATCCCTCAAATAATTATTTGAGGAATCCCTCAATAAAAAGAACTATATATATGACTAGTCAGCATTGTTTCTTTATCAATCACGAATCAACAATGATTTTGTATCTCTATTCAGCAATGCTTCTCTATCAATTACAATTTTATGAAGCATCCCTTAAATAGAACTTTTCGGTTATAAATGAAGAAATTAATTTTTTTTGTGCCTTTAATTTTTCGATACATTGTGGTATGCACATGTACATCCTAATTAGGTCAAGGTATGCTTGGAAAATTGCTTTTAATATCTTTCCTATTATATCAAATTTAAGGAGATGTGGAGCGATATGCAAACAAGGGTGTACTTGATGCAATGCGATGGAAGACACTGCGCTCCATGTACTTGCCGATTGCTCTATTGCTTGTGTAGTCCGGTTTGCTTCATCAGTAGGGATACAAGTACGAGATATCAAGGAGGGACAATTTCTTTTATATCAGGGATGCAATTGTGCTTGTTTCGTCCCCTTGGTTCTTTGGCTGACGTCCCTTTAAACTGCTACTCGTCTCATTTCACTTTAATTGCAGTAAAAACTAATGCCTATCCCATCCCATACTAATTTAATAGGCATGGTGCTGTTATTACTTGCATGAACTTGCATAACTAGTAGCGAGACTGCTTCTTAAACAATTTCTTAAGTTTCTCTTTGGGTTCTTAATTTGTAACTCTTTTATTTATATTTAATAAAATCTTACCTTCGAGGTCCCTAAAAAAAAAAAAAAAAAAAAAAAAAAAAAAAAACAAAAAAAAACCTATCTCTTACCATAATGTGAAAGGACTTGTCTAGTGCGAGCCATAGTCTGATTACGCATGAAAATCCCTCTACATAAAATGATTTATTTTATTTTATTCATGATTTAGCTGTCAAGGGTGTTAAGGACATAGGAGTCTTTTTTCCTTGTCTTATCACCAAGATAGCTTATGAGGCCCAACTTTGTAGAATTAATGGTTTCGATAGATTGGAGGGTCCTAAGGTTCCTGTTGACAAGCATTTGAAGTGAGTTAGTTTGGCACGTTTAAAAGCAAAGATCTCATATCCATCCTAACTTTAGGTCACGAGTACTTATGTCCACTGACAAGCCATTGTAGATGAAGAAATACGCCCCTCAGCAGCTTTGCTAGTGCGCCCACCATGTGCTTGATGTATTGCCTCAAAGAGGCTTTGTGTTTATTGTGCAGCGCTGTGCAGCAGGCTGCACCTATTTGTTTTTAAATTTCCTGGCCAAAATGAGCATTTGGACCAAGCTGAAGAAAAAAACCAAAAAAAAAAAAAAAAAAAAGGAAAAAGAAAAGCACAGGCGAAGAAACTAAAACCTGCCTTTTTGGTTTTAGTTTGACTTCTATTGAAAGTCTTTTATATTATATATTCTTTAACCAAAATCAATATGATGTTGTCTAAGGCCATCTCCAACCCATGAGGCTAAACCCAAAATATCCCAAATTATAGTTGTTTGTACAAATAATTTCTCAAGAGAATTTTCGCTTCTAGATCATTCGCCCTTTGATCTTCCTTCTCTCTCTTCCTCGATTCCTGTAAAAAAAACTGGAGTAAATAGAGTACACCCAGGGGGTGTTGGCCAAAGGCTTTCCGAATCCTAAGTTAGTTAGAGTATTTGTAGGAAAACAATAGCTAACAAAAGGGTACAGAGATGTATGTATGGTGTGAACCGGGCGGCTAGAGCTGTGTGTGGTGGTCGGAGCCTTGTGGAGAAAATATGGAGAGTGGAATGGAGAGGGAGAGAGCTTCGGGTAATTTTCTCGGGTTTTAGAAGTAGGTTTAGATGTACATTGAATGATGAATGAAGCCATCTATTTATAGGAGCCTCGGAGGCTAGGGTTTCGAAGAGAATAAAACTCTTATTAGGAAGGAGTTTATTTTTTATCCAAATAGTAGAGATTGAGTCCATTAGGGATTTGATTGGGATCCAAATCTCCTAATTTGATGATGATTATATCTCCTTATTAGGATAATATATATATATATATATATTAATAATATTATCTTATTAAATAAAGATAATATCCTATAATTAAGATATTATCCATACTAATTAATTGACCCAATAAATTGATTCAATTAATTAATTTAAGGGATATTCTTCTTTTCCACGTGACGTGCTATGATTGAAGACGAAAATATTTGCTCCCATAAATGCCCCCTAACTTCTACATGGCACTTGTGTGGCATGTAGGAGATGAACTTATTTTTCGGGCTCTCCAACTATGTATGGGCATTCTTCTATGAATTAGACTCTTTTTGCATATTGGATTCTCAATTGGAGTAGGCTTTTGATTGTTCTTAGAGTTGGGTTCCCAGTAGGAGTGGGCTTGCGATTCCTTCTTGACTTAGGATGCCTAACTTGTATAAATGTAGGGCTTTTCTACACTCCTTTTCACTTCATAAACTTAACTTCTCTACTTTCTAACTTGAGAGAGATCTTGGAGAATTTGTATTGCTTGTCGAAGAGAGGAGTTGTCGTGCATCCCAAGGTCAACATTCTTGTGCTTAAGACTAAAGTAAGCATCTTTTTTTCTAACCAAGTCGGCAGCAGAAAAGCTAAGCTCATAGTCCTTCTCGGCAAGGGAACTCTTCAGCTCAAATATCATTGCCCTCAAATCAGACGTCTTCTTCTCATAATGGGTCTGCTCGGCAGAAAGCTTGCTGGTCAATTCAGATTCTTCTTCTCCAACTCACTGAGCTGAGAAGGGTCAACAATAGATGAGTTCCGGATAGTCTCAGCTGCAAAAACTAATCCTTTTTGAAGCAGATGAAATGTGGTTTCCTTTTATTTTTCCAAGGAAATACTCAAGAAGGTAACAAGATCGCTGGCGTGATGGATATGATTAATCAGCTCAGCACAAGTGGACGGGCTTGACAGAAAGTTATCCTTGAGCAGATTAGACACGCATGCATCCCATACAGGGCTGGACTTGTCCACCTTGGGATTAGCTGCCAACATAACAGAAGAACTCTTCACTTGGGTAGATGACTTTCTCCCTTTCTTTGCAGTTGCCAACATCACATCCAAAGGAGTCAACAACACTAAATCAACTCTATGCTTGACTGCTCGTGACTCAACAGCTAGATCATGATGGTTGGGTAGATGAGTAGACCTCTCAGTTCGACCTTCATCCTTTGATTGGTGCAAACGACTCAAACCTCAGAGAGGAATATCAGCATCTCTTTGCCTCTCAGCAGGTGAAATAATTCGTGAGTGAACCACTTCACGGAGCAAATCACGGTATCCAAGCTTATCTGCAGAAGCTTGAGTGGAGCATCCCGAATATTGCGTATACCGCCAATCTTCTTGTTATCTGCACCAACGAGATGTTTAACCCTAGCTGATGATGAGGGAACAACTCCTACTTGAGTCTTCTCAGCAGAAGGGATCCTTGGCTTCTTCCTTAAACAGAGACATCCTTCACCCTCGAAGTTGCAGCTTCATTCCTTGAAGACTTAACATCAACCTTCCTTTTTTTGGGGGGTCAGGCAGAACACTCTCCCTCCTAGCCGGCAGATCATCAGAGTCTAGACCATTCTGCTTCCATCTCTCAACATCCTGGGCAGGGGCAAACCACGAACTTCCTCTCGATACTCGCTCATCAGCAACTAGTGGCTACTGCCGCTCCAACCGTCTTTGGCCGCCAGTCACAATGACAACTAGCCTGGTCCCACCCAGCTAGTCCTCACCGAGAAAAAGAAGATGAAGGAAAAATATACGTGCTTGACTTACCTTGGGATGCATGGCAACTCATTTCTTCAACAAGCAGTACAAATTCTCCAAGATCTCTCTCAAGTTAGAAAGTAGATAAGTTAAGTTTGCAATGTGAAGAAGAGTAAAGAGAAGCCATGCATTTATACAAGTTGGGCATCTTAGGTCAAGAAGGAATCGCAAGCCCATTCTTACTAGGAACCTAACTCCAAGAACAGTTAGAAGACCACTCCAATTGGGAATCCAATCTGCAAAAGAACTCCAAACACAGTAAAAAGCCCATTCCAACTAGGAACCCAATTTCAGAAAATTAGCAAGTTAAATAACTCCTCCACTCAGGAGCCCAAGTCAAATAAGGAAGCCTATTTACAGCTGGATAGCCCAATAATCAATCCACATCTCCTACATGCTATGAAAAAGTTGGGGAGGCATTTGTGAAAGCAAAATATCTACGGATCCTAGGTCAAATAATTAAGCCAATCAATTTAGGAATTATTTGGCATAATTAGGAGTTAGTTGATTTAATTGGCAATTATTCGATTATTACCCTAATTAGGGATTTGATTTAAATCAAATCCCTAATTACGTCAATCTATCCAAATTGGGGAAGAATAATTCCTTTTCATATGTGGAATTATTCTTCCGAAACCCTAGCCTTCGAGACTCCTATATATTCATGGCTACACCAAAACTTGAGGTAATTCAAAACATACGTCTAAACTTCTGTCTTAAAATACTGTAGAAATTTTATCTCACAAACCCTAACTGCAATAACTCTTCCTTTCTCTCACACAAGGCTCCGGCCACCCGGTTCACACTATACGTACATCTCCGTACCCTTTTGTTAGCTATTATTTTCCTACAAACACTCGAATTAACTTAGCCATCGGAGGGCCTTCAGCTTACACCCCCTGGGTGTGATCCTTTACTCCGTATTGTTTTGTGGGGAGAAAGAGAAGCGAAGGGGAAGACGAAATCTTAGACAAATATTCTCGTGGGATGAAAATTGCTCCCACAAATTAGTGCTTTCATTGAAAGCACGAGTTATACTCAACGCTTGCTCAAGGAATTCGTTCCTCTTATTTTCCAATCCACCTAAGCCCTCCAAACAACCATGGTTGGAAGCAAATGCCCTAGGAGCAAAAACACTACGACGGCGCACTCCAGAACGGTCGAAACGTCACTACCACCACAAGAGGCAGCGACTGTACCTGTTTTGCAGCAGTCTCTTGCGGCTGCCAATGCATTTCAATAGCCTCTGTGGTTGCCAACACAACATAGCAACCTCCAATGGCTGCCCATACCTTGCCACAGCCTCTGGAAGCCTTAGAACGGCTGCAAATGGCCCCTGAAATGGTCATACATGAGGTTGGAATTGATGTACCTCTTGTTGCCAAGCCAAACCATGGCCTTGTGGCCTCTTCCACCATGTCACCATAAGGACCAAGTGACAGTGTCGTTTTGGAAAAAATCTGGAGGTTCCCTCCTTTGCAACCACACTTGACGTATGCACCCGTGTGCGCATATAATGGAACCCTAGCCCATATGTTATTAGGCTCGATCTACACTTTTCTTCCCTACCTACGCAGTCAAGTGGCCTTAATTCACTGGTTGATGAACTTGCGTAAAAGGTCGACCACCAAAACAATCTAAGTGGCCAACTACTCAGGCAGATCAACTTGAATCGAGGCCCTAGCAGATCAACTTGACGAGGAAAGGAGGATCAACGAGTATATCGACAAGCATTTTAAGAGTTCCCAAACTAGTCGGACAGGGACGAATGGGAAGAGGAGAGAACGAGGTCGTGCTGAAGAGACAGACATTTGCAAGTCGTACTCTGAGCCGGTCGACAATCTGTTCAAGGTTAGGTCCAAGGACTAATGTGCAAGAGAGGTTGACCCCACAGTCCAATGTCCACGCTCGCTTGGGCTAGCAAAGAAGTATCCATTTAAGAATGGGCCTACAAAGGGCACGAGTCAATGAATGATTGTGTGATGAATGCAATGACTAACACTCACAAACCCGCTCAAGAACCAACTCGCGACGACAATTCGTGGAGGAATCCTCGCAAGCTCAATCTACTAATCTGCCTTATAGGCAGGGTAACCAAGGAGGTCGACCTCTGCGAGCCAATGAGGAAGCCACAACCAACTACCCGATCATGGAAGATGATCCTGGCATCATCTTTCAAAGGAAGGAAGTTTCAAGACAACGAAGTGCCCATCACCTCCGGGGGTACTATCCACGAAGCTCCTCACTTATTAGCTCGGCTCCAAGGAGGCGGCCAACCCTCCCTCGCCTCCATTGAAGATAAGTTACTTTTGATGTTACCCATATAACTCATCTCTTTTGTTCAATAAAGAAATATAGTCACACAGACATCAATGCAAGTTCAAGCTTTTCTTCATAATAGAGTGTTCACGAGAGCAATTGACACGTCTCCGGACATAGGCCAAAAGGGTCACTCTCATGGACACATCTCCGGACGTAGCCAAATGGGCCAGTGTCATCAACACGTCTCCGGAAGTAGGCCAAACGGGCCACTCTCATTGACATGTCTCTAGATGTAGGCCAAACAGGCCACGCACATCGGCATTTCTCCGGACGTAGGCCAAACGGGCCACACTCTCATCACACGTCTTCGGATGTAGGCTAAACAGGCCACTCTCATAGACATGTCTCTAGAAGAAGGCCAAACGAGTCACACTTATCGACACGCCTTCGGACGTAGACCAAACAAGTCATACTCATCGACACGTCTCCAGACGTAGACCAAAAGAGGCCACGCATATCGACGCGTCTCCAGACGTAGGCCAAACGGGACACACTTATCGAGACGTCTCCGAACGTTGGCCAAATAGGCTACGCACATTGATACGTCTCCGGACGTATGCCAAACGATATGACTGGCAATGGGTCGTGTCGTGTCGAGTTCATGTCGTGTCGGGATAATAAACGTGTCAAGAATGCTCAACCCGAACCCAACCCATTTAATAAACGTGTCGTGTCGGGTTCGGGTCGTCTTTTATCGTGCGGGTTTCGAGTCGTGTAACAAGTTCATAAATAATAACATGCATGTTACGAAACTCACAATTGAAAAAATTTTAAATTAAAAAAACAGAGAGAGTAGAGAAAATATAAGGAAAAGAAAGAAAAAAAAAGATAAAGAGAGGAGAGAAGAGAGAAGGAAAAGAAAGAAAAAAAATAGAGAGAGAGAGAGAGAAGATTGAAGGAAAGAAAGAAAGAAAAAAGAGAGATGAGAGAAAACTAAAGAGAAGGAAAAGAAAGAAGAAAAAAAAAGGAGAGAAGAGGAAAGGAAAAGAGAGAGATGAAAAAGAAAGAAAAAAAAAGTGGAGGAGAGATGGAAAAGAAAGGAAAACACAAAAGAAAAAGAAACATTATAAATATCAAAAGACATATGATAAAATCACAAAGTTGTTTGTAGCATGGTGGATAAGGTGTTTGAGAGAAATGATGGTGGTAGGGGTTCGAAACCCCTTGTGTGTGTGCTGAAGTCTCCATTTCTCTTCATTTTAGTGGGTTGACAGGTATTATAGCGGGTTAGCGGTTGACCCGAAACCCACCCGTTTATTAAACGGGTCAGAACGGGTTGACCCGAAATTGACTTGTTTTTTTATCGTGCGGGTTGAACCCACTAATTTCTCGTGCAGGTTTCGAGTCGTGTATCGGGTCGTGTCCGAAATTGCCACCCCTACCAAACGGGCCACACTCTCATTGATACGTCTCAGAACATAGACCAAACGAGTCATTCTCATCAACACGTCTCTAGACGTAGGCCAAATCGACTCGTTAAGAAGGATGTTGAAAGAGCATTTGGAACACTACAAGCACGATGAGCTATTGTTCGAGGCGCTGCACGTATGTGGTGCAAGGATAACCTCCACTCAATCATGATTACGTGTATAATTTTGCACAACATGATTGTGGAGGACGAGTACGAATATGTTGAAGATGAATATGATGATAAAGATATGTGTCCACGATGATCCATAATGGCAAAAGCAAGACAATATGAGCTAGAGCCAAGGATTACATACGAGTACCACCAAGATAGGCAGACTCTCTCTAATTACATGATTCGTCATAATAGAGTTCGATACAATTGTTTCAATCCTCCTTTTGTGTTTCAATTATCTTGTGTTTTTTTTTATGTTCTATATTTTTCTTTTATGTTGTGTGTTTTCTTTTGGAATAAAATTATATTTGTGGAATTTCAATTTTTTTAGGTCAAATTGTTCAAAAAATTAAATTATTAAATTATTAAAAAATATTAAATGAAGAAAAGTTTTCCATAAAAAAAAAAAAGACTTAAACCATTCTTAAACAATTTAATAAAGCTGCGGACTTAAAATTTGAGTTTGGAGGGCTGGGAGAAAAAAACAGTTTGAGTCCAGGCAAAACCCAAAAAGTTACTTTTTGGAGGGGGAAAATTTGGATTTAGCCCCCAATGGGTTGAAGAAGGCCTAACACCCTTAATTGTAAACATGATCTATGTATCGTATGTTGCAAGGAGATTTGAGAGCAACCTTTAGAAGGAGGCTCAGAGGAAGTAGCTATGAAATATATGGATCGGGGTCTAGATTGTTATCATGGAATGAGGTTATGGGGCTCATGTTTGAAACTAGTCATAATTATTCTATAAGTAAGGGGTATAAAGTCGCATATAAACAATACTTTTATGTAACTAAAATCATGATATGAGTAAAAAAATAAAATTAAGACAAATTAGATCAAGCACATGAATTGCAAATCAATAATACAAAATTTTGCAAGTACAAGATGCGACCGCATGACGACTACCAACAAAAAAATTTAAAAAACACTCAACAGTCTTTGTTCTGCCTCTTGTCCCTATACACAATCTTTGTTGGAACGCTTGTAAAGTTCTTTCGACTGATGACTTGGGACTGCTTTTATCTCAGAGAAGATCCTTTTGCATCTCTTATTCAATCCCCTAAAATGTGTACCTACAACATCATCGACCATTAGTTGCTCATTTGCATGTGAAAACATGTCTCAAAATAGCATTGTAATTATTATCAATTTGAACATGGTGATCACCTGCCAATTCTTCTTCAGTCGCATCCTTACCTTGAATTGGTTCCTTACCCAAACTAGAAGCAAAAATCAGTACTTTTGGGGATTGGATCGTTTTCTCAAGGTGAGTTTGTGGAGGAGGAGGAGGAGAGGAGTAAGACCCATTTAAATCAGGAGGAGAAACATGAATTTCTTCTTCTACAATATATGTGTAAACAAGTTTAATGAGTTTCTTTCTTGCATATGATAACTGTGTGTGTGGCATAAACAATGACATGTTAAAAATCACATAAACAATGCCATGATAAAAATAAATAAACCATTTGCTTGTATATGGCTGAATGGACGTGGCCACATACAAAAATGAAATATCAATTTACAAACTAAACGTGGCCACATCGTTTATTTCAACTTGAAATTTAAAAGGATACAAATTAAATATCAATTTACATAGTAGCATGGTCACGTCCACAATACTCATTTATTTTAGACTTGTGGGTTTCAATTAAAAATTAAAAAGCAGGTTGTAGTAAAGGTCCTATAGAATTGAGATGCATATTCTTAAGAAATTATGTCATAGAGTTGGTAAAGAAAGCGAAACAAATAGGAAGTTTGATTCACACAAGTGGCTTGTGATTCAAACACTTTTTATGGTTTAATTTTTGTGTATTTCAACATATATTGCTTAAGGTGTTGCATAATTGCTTCCGTAAAGATGTGACTCATCACTTCGGAGTTTGATGTCTAAAGTGTCGCTTTGATAATAAATTTTGCCTCCTTGTGACTACATGGCATTCATCCAGTGTTGGAACCAATTCGAAACAAGAGTGGGGTCACAAAAACTTAGTCTCTCAATCACCTCTTGGGCCTTAACCAACTGACAATTAGAGGATAGGTAGGGAAGCTTGAGAACACATCGCTATTTTGATTATGAATGAAGTGGCACACAAGTGGGCGAATGAATTGAGGGGCAACTCGCCTCAGCAAAATACTCATCGTCCGACTCTGCCTTCGCGTTTAGTTGAGCAGTGTTTCGTTGCTCGAAGTTGGCCTCTTCTTCCATGGCACGAGAAATGAGTGAAGGACGGAGCTGTCTTTGTGCATGAACAAAGAAAAATATCAAGTATGGCCCTCACAAGGAACAAGACTTAAGAAACTAAGAATTGCAAAAATCACCCAACCATGTATTTAGAGGAGAGTATTGGGCTGTAATGACCATTTTTCTCTCACCTAGCCAAAATGACCTTCTTTTTTTTCTTTCACCTGTTCGAGAAAATATAAGTGACCTTACTCAATGAAGAGTTGTTTTAGCCATGTCTTTTTGTTTTTTTTAAAGGAAACACACAAGGCAAGCACTGCTTTGCTACCTTTCCTAGGATATTCATAGAACATGTTGTTGAAATTCCTGCCCAACAACTCAGATCTGGGTAGACGTGTCAAACGAGTTGGGTCGACCCAACACTATATGAGTCCAGCCTGTTTAAATGGGACACGACATGTCCTAAGCATGATTCTTGGTGGGCCATGTTAGGCATGGCTTGGTTCAATATGGACTTGGCTTTGGGTGGGGGTGTAACATCCCACATCGACCAACGGAGAGGGGATGATATGCCTTATATGTACATGCCCACCTCCATCTAGCATGAGGCCTTTTGGGAGCTCACTGGCTTCGGAGTCATGGGAACTCCGAAGTTAAGCGAGTTGGGGCTAGAGCAATCTCAAGATGGGTGACCCACTAGGAAGTTGCTTGTGAGTTCCCAAAAATAAAACCGTGAGGGCAGAGAATGAGCCCCAAAGCGGACAGTATCGTGCTACAGCGGAGCCGATCTCGGGATGTGACAGGGGGTGGGTTCAATGTTTTAATAAATGAGTTAGGCTGACACGGCCGGTCTCGAATAATTCAATGGCCCGATTTTAAATGGGCTGGCCTTCACCTTGGACAGCTCTAGGTTCAGGGAGTCAACAATCTCTGCTTCAATGGTAGTTTCTGGCATTTTGTGGGTCAATTGACTCCCTTGGTCCAAAATGGGTGTGCAACCGCCTACGATGACACAATAATTTTTAGAATGCAAAAGCTAAATGAAGAGTGCTAATATCGTTACTCTTTTTATTTTGATGTTATCATTGACACTCCAATGTAGTGATACGACACTCCTCTCTTATTGCTTTAAAATGGAGAAATAAATGGAATTTCCCCTTAAAAGGTATAGTTTTGTTTAGAGTCCCACTAACAACTCTAGTTGTCGTTTTATTTTCTAAGCTTGCTTATATAATTTTTAAAATGTCACTGGGTTATTTACTAATGAAAATATGAGTATGGTACTCTTGTGGTACCATAGAATGATTGTACTCCAACTAAGACACATCAACTTATTGACAATATATTTATGATAAATATTCCCTTACTAATAAATAGCATGGATAGAAATAAGAAAGTAAATGGGGGTGACACATGATAAGAAGTAGGTGTTTCGGGTCAACTCGATTATAGTGGGTTTGGTTGGTCTAAAATGAGCGGGTCTTGGGTTCAAAACATCATAAATTGTTATGTACGAGTTGGAATCAAAACTTAAAAGTATGCATAATTTTGAGTCAACTCGATTGAACCACCAAACCAGATCACAACAAGTTTGGGTTGAGTTGGGTTAGCCTAATAATGAGCGGATTTTGGATTCAAAAAATCATAAACCGCTATATATCGGGTTGAGACTAAAACCGACCCAACCTAACCTAACCCATGCCTACCCCATCAAGAACTTTTCCAAAGCTTCCTTTTCTTTTAGACAAATAGAATTTTTGGTTAGAGCTACGTTTTCGTTGTGTACCTTGTTTGACCTGAACACATGTCTGCGTTCTTGTAGTGTTGCATCAAAGTTAGATATACACACATCACGAATCAAACTCCCAAGTCAACTCCAAGTCCATTTTTTGCAAATCCAAACCTCTTTTTTTCTTTCTTCCCAATTACATAATTTTTTGTCCCATACATTACCTACACTATCCACAACCTCCACATATGCCTAGAAAAGGTACAATGAGAGGAAAATAAAAGAAAATAAGAGAGAGCCTATGATTGAATCATGTTCATAGCTTTGCCTATGAAGGAAAATAATTAAAAACAAAAGTGAAAAATAAGAAGAAATTTTTTGCCGTCCCTCTCTAAATTTAAGGGGACCGAGGGAGCAGCGGTCCAATCCAGCGGTTGCCCAAACAAAACCCAAAACCAGATAAAAGGCCCTGATTTTTAGTCCCATTGTCTTCTCCTCTCTCCTCTCCTGGACTCGGCAGTCAAAGGTCAGCCCCTAAATTACTGTGGGACCCTCAGCAATTCCTCTTTCCCCCCTCTTTCTCTCTCACAGAATCTCCACGACGACAGCTGCAAGCCTCCAATGCCCAATACCCAAATCCCTAGAATTCACTGATACTTTGTCCTCCCTTCAATTCGATCTCTTGCTCGATCGGTCAATGCCGGTACGTCTCGCTTCCGTTTCAATTTGTGTATAGCTTTTCTTGGTCCGAATTTTGTATTTGCCAGGGAAATTCGGGTTCAATTTGGTGCAATTTCGGTAAACCCTAGTTTTTAGTAGCTTGAATCAGGTTGCATAGCGGGTGGTTGATTTTGTTTTTCTTCTGAATATTGTGATTGTCAGTTTTTTTATCCGAATTGGTTTGAATTTGAGCTGTTTATGTGGTTTTCATAGTGATAAAGGTTGATTTTGGAGTTGAGTCATATAAAAAAAAAGTAATATATGGATACTTGTACTTGTTGAGTTGCTCAGTAAATGTAGGAACCTCAGAAGATATATAATTTAGAATCTAGATGTCGTTTGCATTTCTTTTGGGAAATGAGGAAACGGAAGCTTTTAGTCAACTCTGTTTTGAGTTATCTGAACTCAGTTCTGTTTTTGTAAAGTGAAGTTACATAAACTTTAGTACCATTTGTTTGGCAACAGAAAAATAAAAAAATAAAAAAAACTTTAGTACTATTTGTTTAGTTACACGCCACTGTATTATGATTGTTTCCTATAAAGATTAGTGTTTTATATTTACTTTATTGAGTATAAATTATTGATGAATTTATTTAAAGAACAAATTTTGAATGGTTTTTGGTTTTGTACTAATTCTAACTCCATGTGTATTGTAGATATGGTCAGAGAACCTTAAATAGGCATTTATTTATGGATATGATTTGTCCAAAATCGAGTTACTTGTAGATCATTCCTTTTGAGATTGTTTCTTGAGTGAGTTAAACTAGGTTTCGAGGAAGAAGCTATTTGTTGATATGAGCTTGTTCCCTTGGGCCTGAGTAATGGCCGGAAGTGTGAGATTTGAGATGAGTTCTGCCAGTCCAGAGGAGTTGGCCTTTGCAGGGTCCTACCCAAATGGGCTGAGGGGAAATTACCCTGGTGCCAGTTTGGATAGGTCTGGAAGCTTCCGTGAGGGTAGTGAGAGTCGGATGTTTAGTTCTGGTGGTTGTACACCCAGGGGCAGTGCTTCTTCGACAGGGAATTTGCCTCCACTGCCTCAGTGCTTGATGTTAGATCCTATTACAATGGCAGATCAGAAGTGTCCTTCGCTAGGTGAGTTAAGGAGGGTTCTGGGAGTATCTTTTGGGGGAACTGCAGAAGACAATGCATTTGGAACAGCTCATCTAAAGCCTCACCCTCCAGTGGCTACAGAGGAACTAAAGTGGGTCAAAGCCAGCGTGCTAGATGCCTCAAACAAGGCCAGGTAATTTGAGTGACTCCTCTGATATTGTTCATTTGTGCCTTCAGATCCTCTTTAGTGATGCTATAAGTTTTTTATGAAGTTCAAAAATAAATCTGTACTTCTAATAAAGATAATTGAACTTTCTGCCTTGTCTCTACATGTTTCCCTGGATACTATACCTTTGGTTGTTTGTGTCAATGTGTATGTATATTTTATTCTAAAAGTTAGCCCTCTATTGATGTTGCAACACTTTTTGGTCAGGGTTAGAGCAAAACGGTTGGATGAATCTATAGACAAATTGAACAGGTATTGTGAAGCTTTAAACTTAAAGAAGCAGCAAAGGAATGAGTTTATAACAAATGAAAGATCAGGTGGGTCAAACTTGCCGAAGATGGGAGCTCAGATGAATCGAAACTCTTCAGATCTTATGAATCAAAGGCTGGAAGACAGGACTAAGACTGTCGTGATGAATAGACGTGTTCGCTCATCGGTCACAGAAATAAGGGTTTGTATACAGCAACTTTTGAATTGTCTTCTTCTCTATATAAATTTTGGATTATTAGATTTGACCTTGTGGTTTGATTGCATACAAGTTTGTTAGTATCCTGTGTGGTACGAATTTGATTACTACATTGCATGCATGCATACATATCTGTGTGCATTAACACTATAAACAGTTGCATACAAACATGGATGTACATACACACTTATGTGTGTATGTGCACTTACAAAGAAATGAACCCACAGACGCATTTTCATCTGTTGTTAGTATTCAAATCTGTAGTTTGTGCAAGAAAGATCAATGATCAAATTTTGATATCTTTGTGGTTTTTTAATAAGAAATGTTAGTCTTACAAAAGTGAAAGGAAATACAACCTGGGAAGAGAAATCAGATCAAAATCACAACGCAAACATAGGTAGTGGCATATGAAACAACAAAAGACTGAAAGGAAACTATAAATGTAAAAATTAACTGGTGCCAAAGATTTACTAAATTTCTCTGACAGAGTAGTACTGACCTTTCAGATTTAGCATTATCATCCTAACTTTAAAATCCCGACTTGCTGATTCTATCAGAATTTCACATCAAGTTACCTGTGTTACTGAATAACATATAATTTGTGTGGTTAACTTTATTCTTTCAGGCTGAAGGCAGAAGTAATATGCTCACAAGGCAGCCTGTGGTCATGGGAAAGGATAGGGATATGCTTAGAGGTGAAGGCTCTGATGTTGTTGAGGAAAAGATTCGCAGACTGCCTGCTGGAGGGGAAGCATGGGATAAGAAGATGAAAAGGAAGCGTTCTGTAGGCACTGTATTTAGCAGACCCATGGATGGTGATGCAGAGCTAAAACGAAACTTGCATCATAAGCCTGCTGATGAGCCTGGTCCCCAAGCTAGTGATGCTCAAGGTTTCAGGTGACTTCTTATATGAAAAAAAAAAAAAAAAAAAAAAAAAAAAAAAAAAACTATAAAATTGTAATTTTAAGTAATTCCACGACAACTTTATAGAACCATGAAATTAATGTAGTGTTACAAACTAATTTTTATTATTTAAACTTGCAGCCTTGTAGATTTCTGTCCTGGCATGCTGTTTTGTTGTTGAATAGTTTGATACTACATCTATTCAAAAAGAATAGTTTGATACTACAAAACTAGCTTTGATGTTCTTTTTTCTCATTAAAATCCTTTTTTGACCTGTAAAGTGTAAAATTGAATAGAAGAATAATCGTTGCAATTCGGAAATGTCAATTTCTTGATTTTGTCATCTTTTTTGCAATGCAAATCTTTCTTAGGGCCGGGCTTTAAACAATTTAAGCTAGCCAAACTAAGGCCTGTTGAGCTTAGTTTGGTACAATTGTGACAGAGTTCAAGCTCAGCTTTAGTTGTGGGAGGTTGATGCTATTAAAATTAAGGTATTTGGAGATTTGAGTGTTAAGGGAGTTACATTTCAACTTGGGAATAAATATTTGTGGGTTTTCCAAGACAATTTAATTACATGTGTGATTATATTACTCTCTTGTTCCACATATTTCTGAACAATTTTGTTAAGGGGTCTCCTCTTTAATATGTAAAGCCCTAAGAAGTGAAAGACGAAATCATGTGTTGTGTCATTTGTTCACCAAAGTTGTTATAATCATTGAACTTTGTGCGCATGTGTTTTTTAAAATTTCATTCTCTTCTTTAAGGAAGTGGTGGTTTGATCATGAATTATGTGGACATTTTCTGGGTCATCGTCATTAGATGATTCCTACTCATCCATTTTCCTCCAAACTTGTCTTGCTTTCTTGCAATAATACTTTAGTTGGTTGTGCCCATTATTAGTCTTTTTTGCTGCTTGCTATAACTAATATGTGAAACTTCTCAACTCTTACAGATCAGGGTCATTTAATGGTGGTAATGGCATTAACAAGTTAGACTCTAATTCCTTGTCTGCCAATGCTAATGCCCGTGTTGTGCTAAAGAATGAGCTGGACAAGGTCTCTCTTTCAAGGGATTTAATGGCTGGGTTGAGTAAGGAGCGACTTGGATCAAAGGGAAACAATAAGTATGTACTCATACTTTGCTCATAAAAGAGTTTCTTGTAGCTGCATTAAAGATTTCTTTGACTGATTTGTTATCATAGTATTTTATACTGACTTGCTAAATGTCTTATTTGGTAATCACTCTGTTCAGATTAAATGTTCGTGAAGATAGTCAAATACCCAGTCCTACTCCAGTGACAAAAGGAAAGGCTTCAAGGGCACCAAGAAATGGCCCTATCACAGCAAGCAACTCATCTCCTAGTTTTCCTCGTACATCTGGAACACCTGAGGGATGGGAACAACCTGCAACTGTAAACAAAAATCATTCCATAAGTGGGGCTATCAATCGCAAGCGTCCTATGCCCACAGGATCAGCCTCACCCCCCATGGCTCAATGGGTTGGTCAGAGACCACAAAAAATCTCTCGAACCAGAAGATCAAATCTAGTGTCTCCTGTGTCAAACCATGATGAACTGCAGATACCCTCAGAAGGCTATTCCCCTTCTGATGCTGGTGCTAGGTTAAATTCTTTTGGAACCAATGGGCTGCTTCAAAAGAGTGTTTCGAATTGTGCCCACCAAATTAGAGTTAAACAAGAAATTGTTTCATCTCCTGCCAGATTATCTGAAAGTGAAGAATCTGGTGCTGGTGAAAACCGTGAAAGTAGATTGAAAGAGAAAGGACCAGGTGGTGGTGAAGTAGATGATAGAGCTGCGACTGCTGTACAGAATACTGGTTCTTCCCTATTGCCTACAAAGAAGAATAAACTGCTCAATAAAGAGGAAATTGGAGTTGGTGTGCGGAGACAGGGAAGGAGTGGTAGGGGTTCATCCATTTCTAGGGCTAGCACTGTAGCTACTAGGGAAAAATTGGAGACTCCAGCCTCGACAAAGCCACTTAAAAGTATGAGGCCTGGTTCTGAGAGGAATGGAAGGTGTTAACTCATTTATTTATTAATGTTCTGTTTCAGTGTCAACCAATTTCTATTTCAATCTTTTGTTTTCATTTTCCTGTTAAACCAGATCTCGTCATCGTTATATCTAAGCTTTGTTGTTTTTTCTTGTTTCAGTAAGTCAGGACGCCCTCCTCTGAAGAAACTGTCAGATCGGAAGGCCTTTGCTTGTCCGGGGCATATATCAACCAACGGGTCTCCTGATTTTGCAGGTACTGTACTAGTTTTTCATTCATTGGTATGTTTGGATTAGGTGCTTTGGCTATGTGTTATTGTAATGATACCAAAAGGTTGCTAAAAGAAATTATTATACTTGGAGGTTATTTTTGGGAGTGCAAACTAAAATTTAGAGTTATGACTTGTTTTAGGATGTTTGGGCTTCCTAGATATCAGAACTTGCAAAAACTCTTCCTGGATGTGTTCTTTAAAAAATTTTGCAGGCTTTGATAAGTTTTGGTCTTCATTGCATGCCAGTAATAAAAGTTATTCTCTTCTAAATTTCTCAGACATCAAATAGTATTAGGGTTTGGGTATTTGGTTAAATACATTGCTGTATATTTTTATGTCATCTGCCAAAAAGAATTAACTTTCATTGGTATGCATGTGTACACTCAGTCAATGACGAGAAACCTGATTTCCATTATATGATTTCGAATCTTCTATGATGAGATATATTGTTTTCATTTCTTCGTATTTTTTCCTATAGAAAATAGACTACAATGCATACTGCATATCAGGGTTTGGCTCTTTGAAATCAATGGGTTGCAATGATATGCTATTGCATTTCATGTTTCAGGTGAATCGGGTGATGACCGTGAAGAACTTTTAGCAGCTGCAGCTTTTGCTTGTAATTCCAGAAGTATGTTTCTAAGACCAATATTGTTTTTTTCTCTCCTTCATTTAGCAATATATACTTTATGTATTATATGAACACATATTTGCATTATTATGAATGTGTTATGTTCATATACATATTTTTCACCATGGTATTGTTTGGTTGTTTTTGTAGATTTTGCTTGTTCTAGTCCATTTTGGAAGAAAATGGAACCAATCTTTGGTCCTGTCAGTTTAGAGGAGGCATCTTACTTGAAGGAGCAGGTAGTTGCTAAAATTTATAACTACTTCTCACTAAAAAAATCTATTTTATTAGATTGATATGGTCCCTGACAAACTCTTTCTATATTTTTATGTTTCCATTTGAATCAGCTCATATGTATGGAGGAGAAGGATGAATGCATGTCTCTGATGTTTGGCAATGGAAGTAATGTTACGGTAATGTCTAATAGCCAATTATGTTGTTCGATAGCATGTTATGATTTCTAATTTTGCACTCTCTTCCATCTTCTTTACACTTAATCTTGGTAGTTTTTAACCCAGTGTCATATTTAATTTGATGGAATACTTGAATTTTGACCCTTTTATCTCATCCCAAAGTGTGCCATTCCAGACGTGTATTTACGCTATGCTTTTATGCATTCATTATGGTTTTCAAATGTTTAATAACACATTTTCCAACTCCTGTTTTACCAAACTTTGCATGCAGTATCCTGCAGTTAGAATGATGAGTGGTGGTATGAATTTTGAAAATGATAGTTTGCTTGCAAGGACATACATCAATTCAACTTGTCATCTAAAAAAAAAAAAAAAAAAAAAAAAAAACAAATCTATGGGTTCAATCTTGATGATATTTAAAATTATTCTAATCAGCTCATTTTGCTTAACTTCTACTTTACTATTAGGTGTTCTTGACGAAGACAAACATCCTGCTGAGTAGGATGCCAGACATCTTGTTACTTATGAAGTTATCTTGTTTTCTCAGGGTGATATTGTGCGTGAAGAAAATTTTGCGTCCAAGACTCTTGCTTCTGGATCAAAAGAGAGGAACTTGCAAGACCATATTCAAAATGGAGGTATATCACGTGGAAGATTAGACTCCGAAAGAATGAAGAAAGTGCCTCCACTGTACCAAAGAGTATTGTCAGCTCTAATCATGGAAGATGAAATTGAAGATTTTGAAAAAGATATTGACTGGAGAACCATGTCTTTACAATATAACAGAGATGTTTCTTCCACTGCTACATGCGCCTCTATTAATGTTGAGCCAAGGAACAGGGTTGGGATTCAGTTTGCAAACGAAACCAATTTGGGTCCTCATCTCAATCAATGTTCCGTTGACAGTCTCCCCTGCAATGGGACTAGTGGCTTTGCTAATGCCACAGGAATCTGTAATCAAATACTCGCAGATGATTTGTCGAAAGTAGATTTTGCAGTATTGCATTCAGGGAGTGGTCTGTTCCCTGCGTTTTCTGAAAATGGTTGCCCATATGAGCAGATGTCTCTGGAGGATAGACTCTTGTTGGAGCTGCAGAGTGTTGACCTATATCAAGAAACAGTGGTAAGTTCTTAACTTATTTAAGTGATGATGTATAATTGCTCGGCTCTGCGACTGTATAGTTTCACTCTACTCAGTTTTTCTGGGTCAGTCCTTTTCTCTGCTAGAAATTTGCATGACTTCCACTGCAGAATTGGGAACTGGGGAACTACTTTGAATGACAGCTCTCTCTCTCTCAGTTGCCTTTCTCAACACCTTTCTTACATTAATCTAACACCCTTACCGTTTCCCTTGTCTCAGCCTGATCTATCAGATGGAGATGATGAAGCAATTGATCAAGATATTGTTGGACTAGAGAAGCTACTTCACCAACAGGTTACGGTCCTTAGATTTCACTTTTTATGAACATAATTGAGTTTCCGCATTGTTAAACTGAACTTGTACAGAGTTATTTCTTCTCAATACTTTGTTTGCACAATTATTATCTTGCAATTGGTAAATTCTGAGTCATTTCTACATCTTTTCCTATTTTTGTCTCATAGTTTGATTTTTCTGATTCTTCGGACACTCTAGGTTGATGGGAAGAAGAAGCAGTTGAACAAATTTATTAAAGCAATTGAAGAAAGCATGGACATCGAAAGACGGTAGGATATTCAAATGTGTTTTGGAAGTTTGTAGTATAACATTTTTCATTAGGAACATCAGCACAATATCAATTCTTAGATTCTGTGGAAGTTCAATCTTATGTTGTTGAATTGCAGGCGGCGTGACCAGGTTGCCATGGACAAGCTTGTCGAGTCGGCTTACAGAAAGCTTCTGGTACTTTTTGCAATTGCTTATTTTCCCATTGTTTATTCCTCCAATATTAGAAGCTATCTATCATGTATTACAGTGTATCATATGGGATGGAATTCAAACTTGCATGTTCCCAAATCTATTACTTACACATCTTGACTGAATTACCCACAAATGATAGATATTGATTTAAAATGCCTCAATATGCACATTTTGCTGAATTTTAATTGTAGCATATGAAGTGTTACGGAGACAATAAAAGGTCCCATTTTCTGGTTTCTGTAGGCCACTCGAGGAAGTATTGCTTCAAAATATAAGATTGCTAAGGTTCCAAAACATGTTGCTGTTGCTTATACGAAGAGGACTCTTGCTAGATGTCGCAAATATGAAGAAAATGGAATAAGTTGCTTTAATGAGCCTGCACTTCGAGATGTCATTTTCGCTGCACCGCTTCACGGAGGCAATGCGGAACCCATGAAATGCGATGGCTTAAGTTTGCCACCTGAAAATCAAAACTCTCACCAAGAGCCCGTGGTGTCAGGTTGGCCTTTAATTATTTATATTTTTGTGCTTTTGATGAGTGTATTTGTAGTTTTAGCATACTTTACTCTGTGTTTGTGTGTGTACATTAGGAAATTTATGTGCTACAATATGCATATTTACCAAGATATTGAAAGCAGGTGTTCAGTCAGAGGCCATATATATCAGACAAAAACTATGCACTGGTTTTCTGCTTTCCCATTATGTGGATTTTTTTCCAAACATCCCTAATTATTTAAAGATATTTTTTTCACAGAAACTTAATCTAGGGTGACCTGATTTCAGTAAATGCCTTTTTTTTGCTCACAGGTTCTTCCAATTGGGCGGAGCGGCACGATCATCTTAACAAGTATGGCAGAGATTCTGATGGTACTTTTGGAAGTCTTACCCATCGCTCTGCGAAGGACTATGCTAAAAATGGACCAATATTTTACAGAGGGAAAAAGAAGGAAGTTCTGCTAGATGATGTTGGCAGTCCTTCCTTGAAAGCTGCATCAAATCCTGGTACTATGCTGGGCCGAGCAAAAGGGAAAAGAAGTGAGAGAGAAAGGGACAAAGATGTATCAGCCAGAAATTCTGTTGCCAAAGCTGGCCGTCAATCATTGGGTAACAATAAGGGTGAGCGTAAAACGAAAACAAAGCCCAAGCAGAAGACAGCTCAGCTATCAACTTCAGGAAATGGGTTGGTTAGCAATGTCGCTTCAGCTAGTGGTTTTATTGAAGTTGGTGGCAATAGTAATAACAGAAAACGAGAGGTCGGGCCGGTACGCTATAATGACAATTATGAGGGTCCCACAGAGACCAAGAAACAGATAGATTGTGCAAACATGCAGTTGAATGAATTAGACTCCATAGAACTAGGAGTAGACAATGACCTCGATGGGAATCAAGATCTGAGTACTTGGTTGAACTTTGATGAGGACGGTTTGCAAGATCATATTGCGGAGGGGCTTGACATACCTATGGATGACCTCTCGGATTTAAATATGCTTCTGTGAGAACAGCATACTGTATATTTCCTTGGATTGTTTGACATTTAGACAACATTGATGGTGTTATTGTCAGAGGGCAACCTGCTAATATAAGTTATGGCTCTGACAAACAGGCACATGTAATTATGGCCATTCTTTTTGTATACTTATCTAAAGAAGTTATATAAAAAAAAAGGAAAACAAAAACAAATCTCAATTGTTTATGTCATGCTGATAAATTCTCCTGTCATAACAAATAACAGTATTCTTTTGAACCGTAGTTTGCTTCTTTCATTTCTGTTTTCTCTAGCATTTATAACTTCTTCTATTAAGAATATATTTAAGTGCTTACTGAGGTGATAGCTACTTTCCTTCCAATTTTAGATACTCTGTGTCAGTGTGTTTGACGGGTGGGTTATCTATTTGGTTAACTAGAGTGGGTCTACACCTGATAGGGAGTCTTGATTGTTGTTGTCAAGTTGTTTATGAGCTTATCTCTTAACAACTTTTGCTCTTGGGCTTAACGTTACTTGGTATTTGTTTTGCTTCTAGAAAATGGGAATTTTTTCTGGTTTATTTCTGTTTCAGGAGCTGTTAAAGTCAAGACCTCTGCATGTATAGGTAAGGGGGTTCTAATTATGTAATTTCGTGACTATTTCATTCTGTTTAGAAACTTGATTCTACGAACATCCACTTCAAACTTTATCACATCTTTTTTTTTATTTGTTTCATTTGCTTTTGGTGGTTTCTTTACTTGAACTTCTTTTTTGTGCTCTGCTGTTGTAGGTCGGATTTGTGGGAGATGCTTGTCCTCAATATAGCTCGCAAGTTTCTGTGCCAGGTTCTTCATTTTTACCGTAAGATGCTAAGCAGGTGTTGAGTAATGGCTAAGGAATATGCTTTTTCTCCTTGCCCTATAATCTGGTTGGAATAGTTATACAGATCAGGAAGTTGGAATTGTTCTTGGGCTCCTACTATATATTCTTTCTTATTTGCGTGACTAGTTTTGTCTTTATTTTATGGTTATGATACTTTGATTATTCACTTCCTGTTGAGGATCATTACTCATTAGCTTGTTTATAGTTTATTAATCTATTCAAATAAGAGTATATTCATTCAATAGTGAGAAACCATTGTTCTTCTTGCGTTTATTACATTGGAAATTGTGGCTCTTTGCATTGTTTCTATGATTGTTCTTTCCTTTCCTGAACTTTCTTTGTCATTCATTCCTTAAAAGTTGAAACAATATTTGCTTATAAATCTATATAAAAGCTTGATTGCATTTTTTCTGGCCCTACACTTTATACTTCAAATTTTCCCTGATCCCTGTGATTACCCTTACCTTTTCTAATAATTTTGAATTCATCCAGTTTGACAATTCTGCCAGAAATGTAGGCAAAACATGCAAACCTAGGTCACTGACTGATGTCGTCTCTCCCCTCCTTTCTTGTTCCTGTCTTTTCTCTGAATATCAACTTTTTGTTCTGGACATCTTGTGACATCTTGTATGCCCTTCAATATATTTTCTTGTTCTTTTTTAGTCCTTAAACTACATATTGTCTAGATGCAATGCCGTGTACTTTGGATTTAGTTTTCTGATTCTTTTTTCGCCATAGAGATACTATAGTGCTATGCGTTTGGAGATAACAAGAGAGGTTTTACTGATTTAAGTACTTGCAGTGGGAGTCTGAAATGGTGTTTTAAACGCAAATTATGCTTTGGGTTATATGGCTGAAGGTGAACTATAACTGTTTTGTGCAAACCTGAGTTAGGTATATAGTGTGATGATTGATGTAGGAGAGCTCTGAAATTCTGTGGGAGTGTTAAGAGTGTAATATTCATATTTTGAGTAGTTTTAAGGACTACGCGTAGCAAGGTGTAAAATGGAAAATGTTTCCAGAAGTTTTAATGGCTTAAAACTTAGCATGAGGGGAGGTCCACGAGTTTTCTGGTGCAGCAACTGGGTAAGATGATGTTGGCTTCTAGAGTTAGGGTTGGGATAAATATGGATTGTAGGGTTTTAATAAATGACATGATGAGAGAGTGTTAGTCAAGGATGAAAGGTAAGTGAATAGAAACCGAAGAACGGTTTTTTTTCATTCTTTGTGCATTTAAATACGCAAGTGATGATCCATCTTCCTGCATTCTCAAAATAGGATTTGTAAAGGGAGTCGGAGCCGGAACCCAGCTTCGATGGGCTTGAATTTGCATCCACCTGGATATTTGTGGTGTGCTTTCAACCGGGTAGCACATCATAAAAAAGGTGCGATATGCTTTTTGTGACTTTGCTCACAAGATAAAATGATAGACCCGAATACTAGTTCCGAGAATGTACCTTTAAGTATGCACCTTATGTCAAACATGGAAGTTTTTCTAGATTTTCATCATGGACTTCAAGAATTCCATGCTTTTAGATGTCTTGCTGAATCTGAAACTTGTTATGAAGTGTGCAAACCACCAATGAATGAATAAGGTATGGAGGAGCTTCACAAAGTGACAAACACAGTTTCCTTTCACTGGTATGTTCTTTGATACCTATTTTGTGTTTAATTGTCATTTTTAATTTAGTAATTAAATATTTGTGAGTTTCTGCGGTTGCATCGTCAACTGTATGATAACCGAAATAACCATGAGAAATTCGTGCAGTATAATTTGTTGGCAGCAGTCCTTCGTGCTTGACCCTTGCTCCAAACGCTTAATATGCTTGGAAGAACATTCAATGGTGGGGCAGTAGATTTCCTTGAAAACAAGATTTGGTAGTTATATCTCATATCATTATCTAGAACTAGGCCGTCTAAGGATCATGTTACATGTTCATGTTGATTAGTATCTTGACTTCTTTTCTTTGGTTTCATGTGGATAATCAGAAAATATTCTTTTGTTTTCGGTAGCTTTATAGAGCTCAGATTGTTTCTCATTCCATTAAAAGATTGCTTCATTGGATGTGGAGGCTTGTCTTCAAATTTCTTCACGGTTCTAGGTTGGCTGCCTCTAGCAGCACGCTATCCATTTTTTGTGTTCTTAAATTGGCTGCCTCCAGCAGATTGGTTGATACTTGGAATTTCATCGAATATATTGTAAAATGAAAAGAGAGAACCAGTTTAAATTTATAAAGATTTTGCTTCTCCACGGTTTTATAGCGGATCAAAGGCTAAGCGACAATCTTCTAGCCTCTCTACAATTTGATTTCTTGGTGATATCTGAAAGGATCTATCCAAACCCATAGCATCCTACGGACAACTAAAAAATTTGAGCAGATGAACCCATGAATAAATTAAAGAATTAGCAGAGATGTCAAAAATATCCAGATCTATCAAAACCCATAGCATCTTGACTGCATTTTACTTCATCCTTAAGGCAGCAAATCCCCAATATAAATACAGTAATGGTGACGAACCGGAACGACCCTATTATGGAGGGATGATAAACTTGATATATTGTACTGCTACAGATAATTTTTGTTTCTCCTGCAAAAAGCTGAAGTGAATGGTTTCATCTGTGCTTCAATGGTGTCATGAAATCCAAGCACAATGTACACGGTCTTTGTGTGAAACTGGAATGAGTTGTTCTACAATTTTTGAGACAAATCTGACATTTGGAAGATGAAGAGCTGCGTGATACTCCTCTTCGTCAAAATCTGCCTGTTTTAATGTTCTCATGTAACTCTCAGTAGCTGATCTTGGATGACCCCTTGCAAGTGAGACCTGCGATTTTATGGAAAACTGTTACACAGCGGTAAAATATGTAACCTTGAAAACCAAAATGGCATCTCAATGAAAACAAAGAAAGAAAATTAACGAGGGACTTACCAAATGTCCTTGTTTAGGCCTAATTTATGCACGCCAGCCCATTTGACTATTGAGCTATTTTTAACAAAACAAACTTGGGCTCTATTTCTCAAAATTGGAAATAGCCCAGGTCATTTCAAAGAAACAGGTTTAAAAGAAACCAATTACCCAAAATAATTTTAACAAGATAAATTTTAATTACCATCAATGGTGTTCTAATCTAAATACCCATATTTAATTGGTTTATTTTTTACCCAATTTCTAGATTACATATTTTAAGCTGGATGGTTTTATCATAAAAATAATATGCATTGGTAAAAAAAAAAAAGAACTGAAAATGAAAAAAAAAAAAAAAAAAAAAAAAAAAAAAAAAAAAAATAAATAAAAATCAAACCAAGCGAAAAAATAAAGCAATCAGACCAATACATTGGGTAGAAAATGAAAATGAAAACTTGGTGTTTTTAGTTTTTGTACATGAATTTGAATTTGTTTTCAAAAAACAATTTCAGTGAAAATGAACACGACATACATAACACATTTATAATAAAAAATGAAAAATGAGCTTTGAGAGTATTACCGAACGGGCCTTAAAAACCCACTGAAAATAAAATTCTCTGCATAAGCACAAATCTATTTCTTTGGTTTGGTGGGGCTTACTTCAGCCGCTGGATGGTGCCAACGGTTGATATTACAACCACCTAACTTTTTTTCTAAAAAAAAAAAAAAAAAAAAAAACATAAAAGCGAAGATATCAAATCAAAAAAACATATACCCTCATTTCGCCCACAACCCTAAACCCTCTCACTCCAGCCGTTACTCTTCTCCCTTCTCCTTCTCATCACTTCTCACAGAACAATGGCAGAGAGACCAGCAGAGAGAGGCCGTGGTGGATTCGGCAGAGGCTTCGGCGGGCGCGGAGGCGACCGCGGCCGAGGAGGAGGCCGACGCCGCCCCGGGCGCCGCGAGGAGGAAGAGAAGTGGGTCCCAGTGACCAAGCTCGGCCGCCTCGTGAAGGAAGGCAAGATCAAGAGCCTGGAGCAAATCTACCTCCACTCTCTACCCATCAAGGAGCACCAGATCATCGACGCTCTCGTCGCCTCCGGTAGCCTCAAGGACGAGGTGATGAAGATTATGCCGGTCCAGAAGCAGACCCGGGCCGGTCAAAGAACCCGATTTAAGGCCTTCGTCGTCGTCGGCGACAGCAATGGGCACGTCGGGCTCGGAGTCAAGTGCAGCAAG